TATGCTAGCTTAAACTCCCTATTAAAAAGTATACAAACACATAAGGTCAGCGACACCTCATTGATCTCTTAACATTAAATTTTACATTTATTATTCACAGAAACAATGCTTCATAAATGTTTCCCAATATTGAGATCAAATTTATAAGATCATTATTCCTTCCAATATTGTCAAAAATAAATTATTGTTAAAGCAAAAAATTAGCTGCAGAGTTTTATAAATAAATCTTTAGAGACAAACTAAATATTGCATTTTCATCAATAATCATGTTCAATATCCAAATTAACCTCTAATAGGGTCCAGCATCTTACATCTACTACATTTATCAACTGTGATTCGCACGACAGATGTTAATAAAGGTTAATAAGAAATATTAATTCCAATATGAGCATTACTAATTAATCTTGCATATTGGTAGAAACAGAGGCTTAAATCCCTATGATTGAGAGAAGCTGGCTAACAAAGGATTCATTGATTACTGATGCATGCTACCTTATACTTTATACACAATCTGGTATGCAGGTACAGATAGTCAGCTTAGAGCATCAGTATGTATGCAGTCTTCCTTTTGGTATATACAACAGTATAGGTAAGCTGCTAATGATAACTATAAGGGGCTTCATAAGAAAGGTTTTCACGAGGGAGATTTTCCGAAGGGAGATTTTGAAAGAAGATGTTTTAATAGGAGCGATTTCTATAGAAGAGATACTGTACAATAGAGGTTTTCATAGAAGAGATATACTGTACAAGAGAGGTTTTCATAGAAGAGGTTTTCAGAAGAGAGGTTTTCATAGGAGAGGTTTTCATAGATGTTTTCAGAGGAGAGGTTTTCATAGAAAAGGTTTTTATACGAGAGGTCTGCATAAGAATTTAAAGAGTTTTCTCATAAGTAGAGAGCTTTGCAGAATAACCTCCTTTACTTCAATATCAGGTTTATTTTAAAGATTAACTTCCCCTGAGCGCAGAGTCAAGTTATAATCTATGAAACTTTATTTTAAGAAGCAAAGTTGAATGAATGCAAAGGGTAAGATTAACACTAAAATTAGCACTAAAAATAATAAACTGTACCTGTATTATAAATTAATTAGGTCGTTTCCTTTAAAGGACGATTCTCGGTTTGGAGAACAGTCTCCTGGGCTAATAATTTTTTTCATGAAAAATATAGAAATATTACCCAATAATTAAACTATGAATATTCAAAAGAGGACATTTAAATCTACAAGATGTAAAATAACAAGCAGGGATAACGCTCAATTAGACCGATTCAATAAAATACAAGTCTCGATTTAGGGAAAGAAGTTCATCAGTGCACTATGCTAATATTTTTTTGTGAAAAATCTAGAAATATTACCCAAATTAAATTATGACTATTTAAAAGAAGACATTCAAATCTATATTATTTAAAAAAATCAAATTTGTCCGAAGCAGGGATAATGCTCATTTAGATTGAGTTCGTTCTCCAAACCGAGAATCGTCCTTTCTCCAATATCGCGAGTGTTTGAACGTTTTATTGTGACTGTTTACAATCATTACTCCATTAGTTTGCATGACAAAACATTTGGAATTCAGATTCAACTTAGTTTAGCTGAAATTAGAGGTTTAGTGAAAATGAAAGAATTTTGACCACCATCTTGAATGACGCTAACTGCAGTTAGAGTTATCCAGCTGTAGAACAGTGGTTATTTTACAAACGTGTTGATGTAAATAGACAAATGTGGTCCCTTGTAAGTTTACTATAACACATGTACTCGTTAACGTATATATTTCAGGATAAAAATATATTGGTTCATGTAACACCAGAGACATCTTTTGACACTATAAAAGTACAAGATACACTTTTCCAGACCAAACATCTCTATCAGAATCCAGGGTTTTGTTGTGTATTCTTCATGTTGATTCACCACATAATCTAAAATCAATACAGCTAGGAAATTCCATATTTAACACAGATGGAATAAAAAAGCAATTGATCAGTATTAAGATCAGCTGTTCCCTATACCACTTATGATTAAAATATACTATTATAATGTAACACGAACTGCTGCCACTATTGTATTCATACGATTCTTCCACATTGATTTAGTAATTTCATCAAATATTTTATTGTCATGGAGGGAGATATATTCATATTTTTGAGCAGGCTTACTCAATTCTCTAAAAAATGAGCTATATGAGCTATCAAATCATGATAATTCATAGAATGGAAATATCCTTATTATTGTATGCTGTACTAATATATATGATTTTGATATTTGTGAAAATTGCGTTACACATGAATTCTATCAATGAAAATGATGTCGGTGAACTAGAAAATATAAAATACACTTAGCCTATATATCATTCCATGTATATTATACCTCAAGGCATTGTTTTATACTTGTACATTATCATACCTTAAGTAACATTGAATCTCATGCATTGTCAAAGTCAATAATCATGAATTAATATCAAGGTCAATTTCATACTTAATAATGCATACATAAATGTTACCTTGTATTTGGTAAGACATGTTTTGTTAGGCCAATAAACTTAACTTTAATACGGAATAGAATAAAACCAATACTGGCATGGTCACCTGGTACATTTATCAGGTTGGTAGGCATTTTATATAACAATCAATTTTTTTAGTAATATTTCATAGTTCATAGAAATAGTCTATAAAAGGGTCCAGTGAATAGTTTCAAGTAGTACAGATTGATCTGACATGTTTATAAAAAACTCCATTTCATTGGTAAATATTTCATCATTTCTAAACACAAAATAATTTAATTAATCACATCACCTGTCAAGCCAATTTAATATTCCAAGAGATTTTGTCAACTTGACATGAATTAAAGCAAAAAATCATAATTTCATTTCATCACTTTATTCACTGTTAACCTTAACCTTACAAATGAATAAATAGCCAAGTACCAATATTAAATGTGACAATCTTGTACTACAACATTATTCACAATCATCCATTTTAACTGAGACCAAGAAAAACAAGGTATTAACATGCAAAATGTCACCACCTGCCATTTGTTACAAATGCCAAACACCAATCACTGAACAGATTAAAACACTTGCAACCACTTGGTTGCACACTTATATGCGAGTCTATTGTCATGGTGACCAATATTGCCAAAAATTTATCTCCAACATGCCTTGCTTACATGCCAGGTTACAACTGGTCCAAAAAGTCTCCACTTCTTGTAAAGCTAATTTCTTAATGCATAAAGTGCCAGTGCCTACTAGCCTACATATGTAGGTGACAAAGGAATGATCTATATCAAAGACATAATACATGATGTGACCACATATGAACTATATAAAAACTATATGACATGATACGGACTAATATGAAAACCACAGAGTCCTAGATCCTCACTATCAGCTAACCACACAAAGAAAATAAGGAAACTATCAAACCCTTAAGGGTCACTCATATTGGTAGAATATCCTCTAGCTGTGCTGAATAACTACCATCTATCCATCAAATATTGTCTTTAATGTCTCTATGACTCTTTGTTTCAATGTTAATTGTAGAGTTAAGTTGACAGTGCCCCAAGAAAAACCACAATTTGAGTTGACAACAACTAGAGTCAGAATATATTAATGATTGAGGTCTATTTCATTGAATGATCATTTCCTTGAGTTTTCTGCAAAAAGAATTATTTTTATCAACTGGAACACATGGATGATTCAATGATAAATAGAGCACACCTAGCAGAAATACATACATGTAGAAGTAATATACTCATATGCTATATGGCAATGTAACATAATTATAAAGCTATCCAGAGTATTGACTCAAATCTTTGCCCTCCCCCTCCCATTACTTCCCCTGATCTAGTAAGAGGGGGTCAGAAGGGGTTAAGGCAAGACTGAGGTACACGATGTGGAGGGTGCGCTTCAGATAAGTCCTGCTTTATCACAGAGGTTGTAACAAGTGAATCTACACAATGTATACCTGCATGTATATAATTATCAGCCAATAGGGCAGGTGATTAACAGGTTAACGAGACAGGTGTGCCAAGTGATAATGATTTACCTGAAGCTGGAAGATAAACATACATGAAGATCTAAACAAACATGCTATATTCTCACTACTTGTGAAGCATCAGCACCAATGATCCAACTACCTTAATACCCTTCAACTCAACATCAACACACATCAACTCTACTGACAATACTGTATATCCTATATCTCTATTTTATATTTTGATTTTAAATAACTATATCAGATACCAGATTATTGTATTAGTTTGTAAAATTATGCTATCATTTCCATAAGTGCCATACCTAGGCAAAAATTGAGTTACCATAGTAACCATAACTAGTTTCAGCATGTAATGCGACAGTTCCCTAAGGTGAAAAAACTAATTCCCCTAGTTTGTAACTTGTGCTATGGTCCCTGCCTACAGCACTCTCCCAACGTTAAACGTGATCAGCTGCTTGATGTCAACAAAGGAGATTCTAACATAATCATGAAGTAATTATTAATTAAATCCTATATATTCACCATACATTGGCCATATATGAACTAATTGCAACTCTCTGATTGCAATCTGAAATTGAAAAAAACATCATTTAAATTAATTTCAACTTATTGATTAACGTTATATGATTGCTTTTACTAGGCTTCTAAATACATGAAACACATACAACTGTACATATAGCATTAATTTTGTATTTTTCTAAGTAAATTTCTAAAAAGAGTCATTTTTAATTCCTATTCATTTCTAAAAGGATAGCACAGAATATTTTTAAATGATTTTATTTACTTTTATGGTGTCAAATCGATTACAATGAGTTCTAGCGAGTAATTCTGTGACATGTTGGCTAGAGGGTGAACCCATATGGTACAAGGCAGGTTCGCTAACTTTAAATTGCTATAATTAACTACGATTGATTTAAAAGTCTGACTCAAGTGTAGATAGAATACAAATAGACAAGTTGCCGTATTGGAGCAAAGGTCTTATCAGATCAGGATACAATTACTTCATTTGAGTTCTGTGTTTTAAGTTAGATGAGATCACTGGAATAAATAGATATAGATAAATAGATAAAGATACAAACAATGCACATCTTCATAAAGTAAGTAATTCTGAATAAAATCTTGGGGCATATTTAATATTCATTTCTTATTGATGGCTAGTGGTTAGACATGTTTTCTTATCTCTGACCACTAATTAAGATGAAACATGCATGGATTTCTTTGTTTAAGTCTATCAAACAATGTTGCTAGGGTCATAAATGGTGAAACAAAGAACTTATTGCGCAGCATGTTAAACTGATTTTTGTCATGAAAAATGTCCTCGTTGTTTCATTTAAGAAATGACATTGTGTTATTTCAAAGAATCTTGGTAATTGGAATTTTCCATACCAGAATTTAGGATCTAAGTTTGACTATAAAATGATAATTATCTGGGTTTCGGTAGAAATTTTGATAACATAAAAAAACTTATGAAAAGGCATAATTATTGAAAATTATAATTTTAACATGGAAACATTTACAAAATCATTCAAAACAATTGGTAATTTGGGTAAAATAACCATAGTTTATTGCTTGGTGCTAATGAAACCCCTGAAAACCATATGTAATTCATTATCATATTATGTAAGAAGAACTTATCAGATAATTATGGTATCATTAACAGCCCAGCATATATTTCCAGATGCTGACGCTTGCTTTATATTGTCACATTTTTCATTTTCAGAAATTGCCATGAAGAGCTAGGAATCTAAAAGCTGATTGCACTCAACTTCCACAACATACCATCAATATTTGGTGACACTTATTTCCATGGAAAACAAACATTTATAAAGTTAATCTGAGCCATTTGGGAATGTGTATAACTGGAGACCATTGGAGACATTTGTCACACGAATCAGCTGAGAGAGCACTCTAAATATAACGCTGAGTAATAAAAACTATCACTTGAACTAGATTACAACAAGCTAATTGGCTGTTGAGAACTACGCAATTCAATTACAGAGAATGAGATTAACATTTTGGAACAAAGACTAAATGAAGACATCTCAGTATCCACATCTGGACAAGAAATGCTAAAACAATCGATAGACAAGGACACAATACTAGAGACCACCAAGCACATAAGATAACAAACATCTATACTGACTTTAAATGTGTGAAAAATATTCTGCTTTGGTACAATCACTTTCGAAACATTTTACAAAAGCGAAAGAAAGTCACGAGATGGCAATGAACAGAATCAGCAAAGCCTTGAAGGCTTCTAAGTCTTCCCTAATGGAGTCTAAACACTCTCTGACAATGGAAATAGAGATAGACGCACCATTGAAGGATTTCTCAAAAGCAGATGAGTTTTCAGATGCTGTGTTAATAGTCGAGGGACAAGATTTACATGTACATAGAGTTTATCTCGCAGAATGGTCACCTGTCTTTAAACAGATGTTCTTAAAGTAAGTGCCTTTAACATTTTATTAAAACACTGAATTGATTTAAAATGTATTCGTTTAACATTGAGTTTCTTAATGATTAAATTGATTTGTTAACTCGAAGCTTTAATATTAAGTGACTTCAAAAACAGATGATTCTAATTTTGAATGGTGGTTAAAGATTGAGTGGCTTTAAGACAGACTGGCTTCAATATTGAATGTCTTTATTTAGTATTGAAAACCTTAAGTATTTCATTTTCTTTAATTTATTATGAGTGAATGGCTTTATTCTTGAGTAACTTTAAATTTGAGTGCCTTTAACTATTCCACAATTTCTACTTCAGAACTACCCCCAAGAAGAAGAAATATCGCCTCGCTCTCACTGACAAAAACTTGGAGCAGATTAGGGAGTTACTACATTGCATATATTCTTCACAGAAGCCTGTCACAGGTAGATATTTTAACACACAATACATGTTAGAATTTGTATTTAAAACCATGCTATGCACTGGCGGATCCGGAAGCTAACAAGGGGGAGGAGCAAATTTCAAATTAGGAATAACTTTTTGGGCCCTTAAATCTCAAATTTGGGCCTATATTTTGAAAAACTGAGTCCAATTTTTTATAATTTGGCCAAAAGAGGCCAAGAAATGCCCACAATTCTTTTCTGCCCCCCCCCCCACCTAGATTGGCCAGTGCTATGTATGGACTTGTTATATTGCACCTTTAACTTATCAATCAAGCATAAATTGAGAAATTCAGAGTGTGAGAGTGACGAAATTGAATAAATTGGGAGGTTAATACTGTTTATTGAAATTATATAAAAATGATTAAAAGTTATTTTTAAATGGTTCTAGCCCCATCTGGAATTAATAGTAAGTTTCAAGCACTGATGTTTTCCATTCACCTCTCCTTAAAAAACAAGGGAGGGGGTAGGATATATCAGACAAAATTAATTATTTTATATAAAATAAAATTCTTTGAATCAAAGTAAAAAATTAAATCCATCACAATTTTAACAATCTTAGATTTGGATAATATTAAACATTATTAATCTCAGACATGATTTATCGATGACATTTTTGAATTACACAAATATCACCCTTGGTATACGCAGCTAACGAAAATTGACCGGTACGGGTCAAAAGCTGGACCGGTACGGGTTAACGGTTTTATTATTTTTTAAAATAGCCATAACTTGCTCAATATTGACTTCCTCGTGTCTAATTTGAAATATATGATGCCTCCCGATGCTTTTGAGTACCCCAATTTTTTACAGATTTTTAAACGGACCAAAACTCTCTAAATGCGCATTTATGCTCTTTTCTCTCGAGAACGACTGTCTCATTTTCACGATAACTTTTATTTAGTACTTCTAACATATAAGATCTATTTTTCCCCATCAAGGTATGATGTAAATGACATGCTATTTACATCTTGTGAGTTTCAATGACGCGCGTTTGATTTTATAAAAAATGCCAAACTTTGTGACAAAGAATTGCATCAGCTATTGCCCCGAACCGGTCCGTCTTCTCGCTACAAGCAGATTGCCCCGAACCGGTCCGTCTTCTCGCTGCAAGCAGGATGAAATTCTTTGTCACAAAGTTTGGCATTTTTTATAAAATCAAACGCGCGTCATCGAAACTCACAAGATGTAAATAGCATGTCATTTACATCATACCTTGATGGGGAAAAATAGATCTTATATGTTAGAAGTACTAAATAAAAGTTATCGTGAAAATGAGACAGTCGTTCTCGAGAGAAAAGAGCATAAATGCGCACTTAGAGAGTTTTGGTCCGTTTAAAAATCTGTAAAAAATTGTGGTACTTAAAAGCATCGGGAGGCATCATATATTTCAAATTAGACACGAGGAAGTTAATATTGAGCAAGTTATGGCTGTTTTAAATTCAAATAAAACCGTTAACCCGTACCGATCCAGCTTTTGACCCGTACCGGTCAATTTTCGTTAGCTGCGTATACCAAGGGTGAATATTTGTATTAAAACCTTTGCCATTTGCCTACTATATATGAACAGTATACTGTGATCTATAAGATCTGTCTTCTGTTGCAGATGAAAATGTATACTACCTTCTCCAGCTTGCTGAGGAGTATCAAATAATAAAAGTGACAGAACGATGTGAGTTATTCCTAATCTCCCAGGATCCCTCAGTAGAGTCACTCGTTCTCGCTCAGCGTTATAACCTCAGCAATCTACGTCAACATGCAATCAATCTCCTTAAACACAGAGTCGTCGGCCAACTAGAGAACCTCCCCGGGTACCCAATGTTGACCCCCGAAACCCTGGCTCATCTATATAAAGCCAGAGCCGAACACTTGGAAGATACTCTGAGAAAGATCTACAACTACTGTACAGATGGTGCTGAGAAATGCCAGATACATAGAGAATTCAATTATTTCCCAAATGGTTGCCATGGCTGTGTGCAACTAGCCGTGAATAAGGTCGCTGATGAGTGTACAAATTGCATAAAAGATGTGATCAATCCATCTATGATTATCTACAAAGGAACAAACTTCAAAATGCCAAGATCTCCAAGTATGGAATCGAACTCTTGAAATTATCACCAAAATTCAAGGTTTATCTTTGTAATTTCAAATAGACTATAAGTAATCATATTCTATATGCAGTACAAACATCCATATCAAAAGGAAAATATGGAAAAGGCCATTCCTTACAATCAAATCAAATGAATTGTTTTGTATAACGAATGAAAGGAATGAATTTTTGAATCCTAATTATTCAAATGTGTGGTTTGTGCAATGGTTTATTAAATCAGACAAAAATTAAGAATGACAATGTCAAACACAAATGAATTCTAAAATGCTCACTTTATGAATGACAAGTGAATAAGAAATTGCTTAAAGTGAAGGAGGGGTCACAAAAATATTGTGCAATATGTGATCTACGGCAATTATTGTCATCAAACTTATCATCGAATATAACACAAAAGTGCAAGATGAAGGTTTGATATTAATTTATTTAATTTAATTATCTATTTATTTAAAGTGTAGAGGAGAAAAGACAAAGCTGCAGTGAGAACTGAATGTTGTGATGTGGTATGAATATTGCGATAACATTTCTATGTTAGACAGGGCAAAAATTTCTTAGTCATAATTCCCGAAAAGTTCTTAGTTTTTGCTGCCTGTAAAGTATGACATCATAATTTTTAATAATTTTTTCTAGTTTTCTCGGTTCCCGATATGGGTCAGGATTTTTCCAAAAGATTTAAATACCATTACTTTAAAGAAGTAAACATGATATGTGAGTCATCCAATTGAGAACAAGAATCTGACAATAATATCATGAAATGAAAATATTTCTAAGTTTCCTGAATCAATTGATGATGGTCATATCAACAGCAACTTCACATAGATGATGAAATCAGATGTCTCGTAAATGTATTTGAAATGAAAACAATGTTTCGCACTCAGTATATGAGTGTGTTTTTGGTATAATAAGCAAATCTGTTTTTTAAATGTAAATGTGTTGTACAAAAGATTGCAAAGGTTGCGCGCTGAGTGTGAAGTCTAGTCTCTACTGGGTGTCGAGGAATGGAATATGGTTGATGTCTATAATTTTTGATTTTGTAATCGTGACACATATTTATAATACATGTATGTATAACTACATGTCATCAATGAAGGCAATGCCTCTAAAATGCCAAATGATTAATTGTAAGTAATATTTATAATTTATTTCTGTAGAGTAGATTTAGCACAATTTTTAAGCACATACTGTAATTCACATTAAATTTGCAGACATCTTGAGTTCATGTATATTCCCGTGAGTGTAAAATCATAATTTCAGGATGCCGAGAATTTAAAATTGTTTCTTGGCAGGAATCAAGGCACTTGAAAAATTGTGAAAACATGAGTGTGCGAAAGAAACAAATGTATAAATCTGTGAAAATTGCTCCCACAAATTCAATGTGTTTTACAGTAATCATGCACTATATAATGTAAGATTATTTATAACTGTGTATGTACAGTTGTACTAATGTAGTACTCATATAATGTTTTGTACATTTATATTGTCTGTCTCTAAATAGTAATTCCTACTTAATTAAGTAGTACAGTCAAACCTGTATATATTGAACATACTTTTGCCATGAAATATTCAGTGTTGGTAGGTGTTCACTTCAGAGAGGGTGATTTATACAGAAGTCAGTAGTGTACAAGCCAAGGAAGAGTGTCCACTAAGGACAGGCATTCACTAGAGAGAGGTGTTCACTAAGACAGGTTTTACTGTATTTTACTGTTCCATAGAACATACAGGCTCAGTGCTTCAACGATGTCAAATGGTGGTGGTTTACATATCTAAACTAAAATCAAATTATGTTACAATTAGTATTTGTAAATTATATCTAGTTGTTTTCTAGAAATATATAAATTGGAATGAACAGTACCAAGTTTCAACAAACAGCAAAAAAGGTTTAGATATTGTAGAAAGTTTTTAATATTTTTGAACTGATAACTTTTGATATGTATATTTACAGGATCTGTAACATGGTTGTTATCAAAATCTGTAACCTGGTTGATAAAAAAAGTCATCAGAAAACTTTTTTACTTTAGTCACATGCTGTGTCACTGACCAATGAGAGAACAAGTATCACTGCATTTAAATAATTAATATTTTTTGTGCCATTTTAACACCAATTTGGTATATATTTCTATCACCAATTTCTTAACTTGTTAACACGAAGAGAGATTAATTTTATGAACCAACAAAAGATATTTTATTTCATTAGGAACATGCAAATGCAGTGTTATCTTTAATATCTTTAATACACAAGTAGATTAGTTGTTTTATTATGAGACATGATCAATGCAATGTAAAGTTATTTGATATTCAGAATTTGTAAATTATTAATAAATAAATATAAATGGTAACAAATCTGTGTTATGTGGATTACAAACAAAGTGACAATCAGATAATATATACAAGTGCTAGTGATATCACTGGGATTTATAACATGTCTAGTACTTCAATTTTTATGAAACCTAAATAAAATACATTTTCTATTTATGAAACATATGTATTCATGCTACCTGGAGATGTTTATGTTTAACACTAATTATTTGCCCAAGTTGACTTTCAAATAATCAGACCATACCAGAAACACATATCTTCAGTTAACGCTTTTCTTCAGAACTTACAACTTTCTCTTGGTGCAATTTCACGAAATATGTTTTACACGTGCAAATATGTAATTTATGATCCAGTCAAACAAGGCAACAGATGTTTGAGCAGGAAAACACATACAAGAAGTAGTTCGAGGTCCTCTAAATTGTGGTTCCTGTAAATAATAATGATCTACTATAAAAGATATACCATACTGTGTTATACCATGATAAACACACAAATTGATTGATTCCTCTTGACAATACAACAAGATTATGTAATGGTTCATTTTGTATAGAACCTATCTCGTACATAAGGGCGATCATTTTACACATTGTAAATTAAATTGTATGAGAGCTTTACATTATATGTAATCATCAGATCACTCATAATATCAGCGCTTTGGTGCCACTTATCAACTCAAATTCAATGTTAGAAACAAGAACACAAGATAAAGGTCACAAAACAAATTGACAATATATTGTCAACATACGAGGGATGATTCAAAAGTTAAGACAAAAAAAGGTTGGCAGAAAGGCTCATTGAAAACGTGAAAACTTTTTATTTTGGTTTTACAATTCTTTCACAACTTATCATTTTGGTTGCTCTTGATATATACCTTAATCTCACACAGACTGGATGAATCTTACTACTCCTGTAAAATGTTGCCAATTACTTTTGAGCCGCCCCTCGTATATAAACATACATTGTATATATGTATTACCACAAACAGTTCAGAATAACCTTTAACAAACTACATGGACATTTATAAGTAACATAAGAACCATAAAGAAGCAAAATGACTCTCAATGTTAAACAAGCTGGAATGGACTGCAAGCAGGTAATACAGGAGTACTATACTCTCGGACCCAACTGCCATAGATCAGGGACCACACAAGACCACGCAACGACAAACTGGATCGGTGAGAAATTAAGATCTTTAGGATTCGAGACCAAAACACTGGAATTCAAGGTTATTCAGTATGACCATTCAGAATGTTATGTCAAAATCAGAGATGGTCCAAAGATTGATGCATTTCCACAGTTCAACTTCAATGAAATTGGGGACATAAAAGGAACATTGGCGAGTTTAAATAAATGTTGTGAAGGTGATGTAGCTGTCACTGAATGGCTGAGTGATGTTTCTAGAGGTACAGGGGTCAGAATCAAGGACTTCCGCTATGACTCTGACATAGTTAAGTCTGTGAAACGTAATGTGAGAGCTCTGATTGCTGTCATGAACAGTCCAAGTGGTGAACTAGCGATGCTGAACAGCCCTAAGAGTCTAGAACTCCATCCCTTGCCTGTATTTCTAGTTGGTATAAAAGATGGAGACAAAATCAATGAGGCTGTGAAGAATAAAGGACAGGTTGAGATAAAGGCATCAGGTACTGTGAATAACAATGGAGTAGCTTACAATACATATGCGACCTTGAAAAGAGGCAAACAGTGGATAGTTGTGTCCACTGCCCAGAGTGGTTGGTTCGGGTGTGCCAGCGAGAGGGGACCTGGAGTGGCAATTTTCTTAGCATTAGCACAATATGCTGCAACTGCAAGCTCAGCCTACAGCTGGTTTTTCACGTGTAATTCAGGGCATGAATTTGACAACCTTGGTTCAGCCGAAATGACGAAGTCAACACTGATGCCAGCACCAAATGAAACAGCTTTGGCTATTCACTGTGGAGCTAACATAACATGTAGACGCTGGGACCGGAAAAAACAATATACCAGCCCAAGTGATCCCAACGAATTATCCCACAAGGCTGACCCCATCATCTAATTTGCTGCAGATCCTTAGTGGACATTTCAGCGCAACCCAAATCATTCCCATAATGCCTGGTACACCATGGTACCGTGGAGAACTGACGGAGTACCACAAACACGGCTACTCAACAATCCTGGATCTCAAGGGCACTTCCAACCCATTCTTCCACGCCCCCAGTGACACCCCAGATAAAGTAGACTTTGAATTTCTACAATCATTCACAGAGAGTTTGATTGAATTTTTGAAAATATTTACAGCACGGCATAACATGGGATGGATCCTGTGGCTGCTTCGCTGGCTGAGGCCTTCAATGTTCATCAAACTGTTGAGAATCATAGCATGGTATATTCTTGGGAGATTGTGTAAACTCTCTGGCAAATATTGAGATTTGTCCTATTACAGACTTAATTTGACACTTTTGAATATGATAAGTAGAACATTGAGCGAGCTCACGGTCCTTATAGTAGGAAAGAGATGGTCTGAGCACCAGCATGATATTATAACAGTAACATTAATGAGAAAGCACTTCAGAAAGGTTCATAAGAAACTTGAAAAGTATTTCCCATAATCTTTGCAACAGCACCATTCTATTATTATACATATCAAATCTCAATTATGACTCCGATACATTATCCAGAAAACCACTAAAATTTCATTCAACTGTAGCATAGTGTCTATAATGTTATGTATTACATACCTAGAGAAGCATTTGTATTGAAGTCAATGGAGCTGAACGTCAGCTATATATTCCTGTATAGCCGCCAAGCTTTTTTGCCAAGACAATCATATGACGTCATGTTTCATTTCTTCCAAATTTCACTCACACACAGACGTGTGATGCCATTGATATAATGTAGCAATGGAAGACCCCAGGCATATATTCAAAGATAGGGACATAACTGCTAAATACAGATATGTTTGCTGTTTATGTCTAGTATATAGGGACTGACAGATACATTGAATATTATATTCAGTAATTCTAAATAGTTACACTACTACCCCCATTCTTATCCAAGAATCAAGGTACCTCTTCAGTTTTCAGTATATTTTAGTATTATTTACAGTATCATGCAATGTTGCTAGTCGACATATAATATCAATACTGGATATTACTCCCCGTCTTTTGAGTTCACACAATTCATCATATCATATCATACCACAAATGTACAATTATTTTCATATACTCAAGGGGCGAGGAGGAAAATTCTCAATAAATGGTGTATAGTTGGTTTGGCAGCATTTTTAGTTAGGGGAGAGTCTTGGATGAAACTTCCACCTAGGTGATAGCTTCACAGAGTGGTAGGAAGTTCTTTTTTTTGAGGAGTTAGCCCCCCACCCCCCCCCAAAAACACCCCACCCTGGGGAAAAAATTGTTCACACTAAATAACCTTAGATATTTTGATGTTTGTAAGTGACATACATAGATATTATATATATGAATCAATTGCAGTATAATTGATGCTGATAACTCCTAAAGAATTTGGAAATTAGTACAAAGTATGTACCCCAGGGGGCAAATTCGTGACTCATTTTCTTACTATTTTGATTCTAACTTTTCAATTAGACACTGTAAGAGGTTGGAAAAATTCATGTGAAGTGCCCAATAGCAGGGTTAGTAAAACTGAAAGATGCAAAGCCATGGAAGAGGTAGGAGCTGAGAAAAAAATTGTTGATTTTTCGAAAAATTTGACATTTTTGACAGCTGGATTTTGTGTATGACTATAGCTGACCCTTATAACTTCTAGATCCATCCCTCTATGATGATATTTATGGTTTTATAGTGTGAAACTAAAATGTAAAACATAATTTAGATGGGTTTTAAGGAAGTTAAAGGTTTTAAACAAGTCCAAAATTTGAAAAATTGTAAATATAAGGTTTCAAATTTACAAATTCCAGGTATAACCATGGCTGACCCCTATAGTTTCTAGATCCATCCCTCTATGATGATATTTATGGTTTTAAAGTGTGGAACTAAGATGTAAAACATAATTTAGATGGGTTTTAAGGAAGTTAAAGGTTTTAAACAAGTCCAAAATTTGAAAAATTGTGAATATAAGGTTTCAAATTTACGAATTCCAGGTATAGCCATGGCTGACCCCTATAGGTTCTAGATCCATCCCTCTATGATGAAATTTATGGTTTTATAGTGTGGAACTAAGATGTAAAACATAGTTTAGATGGGTTTTAAGGAAGTTAAAGGTTTTAAACAAGTCCAAAATTTGAAAAAATGTAAATATAAGGTTTCAAATTTACGAATTCCAGGTATAGCCATGGCTGACCCCTATAGTTTCTAAATCCGTCCCTCTTTGGTGATATTTATGGTTTTGTAGTATGGAACTAAAGATGTAGAACATAATTTAGATGGTTTTTAAGGAAGTTAAAGATTTTAAACAAGTCCAAAATTTGAAAAATTGTAAATATATGGTTTCAAATTTACGAATGTTAGGTATAGCCATGGATTATAATTATAATCACTACACTCCCAATAAAACAACTTGTCATCAGGCAACAGTAATTATTTGGGAAAATAAGGATTATAAGGATCATACCCCGCTGGGCCTAGAAACTCCCGTTAGTGCAATGAGATTAGGAACTCCAGGGTAAAAGGGTCTTATCACACTAAAATCTTCATGTAGATCAAAAAAGTATATATGGTGATATATATGATCAATATGTATTAAACAAACAGACATTGTAGAAAATGTTTACATACTGACTTTGCAGATGACGTTTTCTAGCAGTTGAAGAATTTTTTACATTTATTGAAATGATAGTCATAAAATTAGAATATCAGTGTCATTTGATGCAAATTACTGCAGTCCCACATGTTCTCCTACTGAATGTAAAACAGAGTGAATAAGTTTAAAATCAGCCTCTTCAAGAGTGGAATTTAACGGGGGATTTCAGTTATCATTTTCACAGATATTTAAGTTCTCTCCAATAGTTCCACTTAAAACAATCTTGACATTTGGCACACTTTTAGTATGCTGCTTTATTAAATTTCTTTGTAATCTTTGAAAATTTGTATTATATGACTTGGCCAAAAGGTATTCATATTTTTAGGTAATGGTGTAATTTCTTCTTTGGATTAAAGTTCAGTAGGGGAAGCATCCATTCTTCGCATTCTTTCAGAATCCTTTACTGATGGAGACTACTAGGAGTAATATGAAATCTATTCTTTGTGCTCCTTTACTAGATTTGATGGAGTAGTCAAATATAGCTTTCCAAAACTCTCAAAATTTCAACATATAAGTTAATCTTAATTTTCCTTTTGTCATAGCCATTGCATCGATCACGAAAGTTTTATCAATTTGTGGTATGGTTTCATCGATCTCCATTTCAAACCCCTTTTTAAGTTCTGATTTTACAGATAAGATAGATGATCATTGTCAAACGAACTGTTTGTATCCACATAAGATCATAGTTTTCGCACACATAGCTAGGCAAGGTGTGTCCAATTCCAGCCAATTCAATATTCCATATAACTGCATTCCAATTTACCACTCTCATAAACCAAAGGTCAATTTTAGATTCTAGAGAAAGTAATGAAACCAATGAGCTGATCAATAACATTGACAAAAAATCTATAAATAGCATCATAGGGAATAGCATGCCAAGTGCTTGTATTTGAATTTATGTGGATTACTCATTTGGTAGACACCTTTATCAAATCTTAAAGTGTTGTTGATTTTCAAGTTGTACAAGCAAAGTGTCATGGGTGCTTTCTTTTCCTGACATAGTATTAACATTGTGGTAAAAATTATCAAATGCACCTAGTACAGTAGTTCTAGTTCATCATCTTGTATAAATGATACATCATCAGTGAAACCTGTATATCCCAACATCTGACTATTGTGAATACCTACCAATCATCATATCTAATTGAAAAATTAATCCGTCTAACTTGAACTCTTTTTACCAAATATCACATATTTCTTACAAAATTGTCAGTTTAACACTGAATTGTTATGATATCAAAACTTTTGGATTTTGGAATGCTATTAAGCTTTTTATGTGGTCAGTATAAATATTATTAATATTTTTCATTGAGAATGCATTCATATTTCTTCAAAATCCAGAACTTGTATTGTAGATGTAAAAACCTCAAAATTAAAACACTCCTAATTAGAATGCTTTTAGCTGGTCCAAATACCAGTAGCATTCAGATTAGAGAGATTTTACTGTAGTTCACGACTTTTCACTCCACCTATATGCAGCAGACTAACTGCTGCAACAGGTATATGTTCTACACCTGGTCTCTAAGCTATGATATCATAGTTGATACTATTATGCTCATAACCTTCAATTATCAGGGCTCATTCAAGGCTGTACCTGAATAACGTGAATTTGAGACCAATTTTGAGATCAATTTTTCAAATTTTGCACTTGTTTAAAACCTTTAACTTCCTTAAAACTCATCTTAGGTATCTTTTACATTTTAGTTAAACACTCTAAAATGATATATTTCATCCCTGAGGTATAGATGTAAAAACCATAAGGGTCATCTTTGGCTATACCTGAAATTCATAAATTTGAAACCTAACATTTACAATTCTTCAAATTTTGGACTTGTTTAAAACCTTAAACTTCCTTAAAATTCATTTTGGATATGTTAAATCTTAGTCCCACACTCTAAAACTGTATATTTAATCATAGAGGTATGGATGTAAAAATCATAAGGGTCAGCCGTGGCTATACCTGAAATTCGTAAATTTTGAAACCTTATATTCACAATTTTTCAAATTTTGGACTTGTTTAAAACCTTAAACTTTCTTAAAACCCATCTAAATTGTGTTTTACATATTAGTTCCACATGGCAAAACCATAAATATCATCACAGAGGGATGGATCTAGAAACTATAGGGGTCAGCCATGGCTATACCTGGAATATGTAAATTTGAAACCTTATATTTACAATTTTTCAAATTTTGGACTTGTTTAAAACCTTTAACTTCCTTAAAACCCATCTAAATCATGTTTTACATCTTAGTTCCACACTATAAAACCATAAATATCATTATAGAGAGATGGAGCTAGAAACTATAGGGGTCAGCTATAGTCATACACAAAATCCAATTGTCAAAAATGTCAAATTTTTCGAAAAATCAACAATTTTTTTCTCAGCTCCTACCTTTTCAATGGCTTTGCATCTTTCAGTTTTACTAACCCTGCTATTGGGCACTTCCCATGAATTTTTTCAACCTCTTACAGTGTCTAATTGAAAAGTTAGGATAAAAAAAATAAGAAAATGAGTCACGAATTTGCCCCCTGGGGTACACACTTTGTACTAATATTCAATTTCTTTGGGAGCAATCAGCATCAATTATACTGCAAGTGATTCATATATATGTAATTCTATGTATGTCACTTACAAACATCAAAATATCTAAGGTTATTTACTGTGAACAATTTTTTTCTCCGGGTGGGGTGTTTTTAGGGGGTGGGGGGCTAACTCCTCAAAAAAAAGAACTTCCTACCACTCTGTGAAGCTATCACCTAGGTGGAACTTTCATCCAAGACTCTCCCCTAACTGAAAATGCTGCCAAACCAACTATACACCATTTATTGAGAATTTTCCTCCTCGCCCCTTGAGTAATACATCTTGTATCGTTAATCTGATAATTGAATAACCAAATCATATTTTAGTCTTGGATGTCGATATACTTCATTGAAAGGCTTTAGTTTGGATTCCCATGTGACTCAATACTCAATGTTGACTTGATAAACATTGAACACTTTTTGAGTGATCTATGCAATAGGAATGATTACCCTATAAAGGTGTCATAGGTTAAATAAATAAGTCGATCTAAATAATAATAATTGAACTGTAACAATGCAAGTACTATTCTTATAAGACTGAAGATCTCTTCCCTACTACTTAAAGCCTCTAATTGAGAAAAACATCTTACCTGTCTTATACGCTCTTTAATGACAGCTTTATCAAAATTAAGCTTCACAGCTACATACTCTTCAGCCTCTGGAAAATCAAAAAATTGTTGTTGAAATTGAGAAAAATACAAATCCTTGAAATTCTGTAATAAACTACCAAACTGCTATCTTTAACCTCATTAATTGTTTTTAGTATCAACTTCCATGCTTCCATGCTTTCATGCTTCCATGCTTTCATATGCAGTAAGGTCATTAGTACTAAGTTAAATAACATTCAAACCAAATCAGGACCAGGTTAATGAAAAATGGTGACAAAAAAGCAAACTTGTTTGTTCCTATACTAGTTATCATGCAATCCTAATCATTTAGGAGAGATATAAATAAATGACATGCCGAACTGTGGGTTGGGTCTACTACCCTGGAATACAATCAGTAACACTATCATCCTCTGACTATTATGTATGAGTTAAACAGTTTTAATAATCTGATACAATCTAACACTGGTCACTCTTCACATCTGTCAACGTGCAATAAATGTGAGATACTTGAAAATGTAATGTCATAATTTTCTGACTTCATATTAAATTTAACACAAGGCATTCCCATGCAAAATGTCACCACCTGTCATTTGTTACAGACATTGAATGCCAAACAACAACTTCTAAACACTAACTACTCAATGCCTCACACCATCAACAATAAAAACAATTGGATATTTCTGTGTATTATCTCAAATTTAAAGGTTTAAAGAGTTTGGGTGAAAAAAGTGTTATTAATATACCTGAATCCTCATCTGATCCAAGCCCCAGTGACATCTCACTAAAGTTTGGCCCAGTTGCAGGTGTCTTCTTTTTCTTCGATTTTGGAATTTTTTTTATATCTAAAAGTTAGTAAAAGATGCTGTACAGCTTTATAGAGTGCAATAAAAATCCCAACTATCCTGGACTTTACTGCACTTAACTGTACAGTCTGAATGAGATTTAATAGAAGATACATGGCGTAAAGAATGCCCAACCAACCTTAACTTTATATAAAGAATCAAAAATCACGCATTACGGGTGGGAGCTTCAATAGAATGAGAGCTTTCTTTTTACAAAAATTGCTCATTGTCATTTTTAACTGTCATAATGCTTTTTCAAAAGTTTTGCTGCTTTTCAATTCGGCCTATATAAGTTTTCCCTTTTTACTAGATTCTATTGAGACTCCCAACAAACAACTTTAATTAATTTTGTTAAAATAGTTCAGTGCAATTTCACTTGCAAACCATGCACCTGAGGGAGGTGGGCAATGGGTTAAACAGAATTAAGAATGACTATAAAGCTAACATGACTTGTCATTTGCTCAATACATCACATAGCTATGCCACATAATTTTGATCAACAATTACAATCATTTTTAAATGAAGATCTCATGAAGGCATATACATGTCATATAACACTAAAATACATCTTGTATAATAAAAAAAGAATCTTAAATCAAGAGTTTCACTTATTCTATGTATCAAAGTATGTTATAATTTAATTCATTGTTTTGGATTGTTTTTATAATGTAGTGTCAAAAACAATGAATAAAAGTATAATATTATCCCCACCTAATTAGCCTAAATGAACTTATCTACAAAATCAAAATATTTAATTTATTTACCTGCACTTTCAACATTTAGCTGCTCAACTGCATTTCGAGCTGCAGCCTGCTCAGCTTCTTTCTTCGAAGCGAACTTATCTAGAATTGAACAAAATTATATTCTAATTAATTAATTGAACAAAATTATATTCTAATTAATTAATAATAGTGTTGGTGAAAAGTTTGAGATTTCAGCACTTTATAGTGAGGAGTGTATCATTTTCAAATTATATTAAAGAAAACAGATTTTTCGTTAACACAAACTGTTTGTTTAAGAAATGAAAGAAATGTCAATGCAAGTCAACATTTTCTACAAAAAGAAATTGTAATTAAGAAACTGTATTAATGAAGTGCAATACCTAAGGATCCAAATATCCGTTTGTTTATCTTGACTGAACTTATAAAACCATGTTGCACATCCTTGCCAGCCAGGCCCGTCTCATACACCAAAGGAGCCATTTTTTGTTTACTTGCATACACTGCTAGTAAGCTCTTATAGTCTTTTTTGATCACACCTAGAATCGAATTTCAACTGATTTGTTATGTCAATATTTTGATTTGGGATTTTTCATGCAAACTGACAATTTTGGTTCTCCTTACATTTACAATGTACTTTTAACTACATAAAAATAAATGTCAACCCATGCAACACTTTTGGAAATTAAACTCTTACATGTTTTGACTAAAATATGTGTTTCAGGAAAATCATCAAATCAAAGTGGGTGCCACATAGCCAAACTGACAGACTTCAGAAAATGTTTTGTTATTTCATATGTTTTCAACTGCATTTTTGAATCAAAGTCTTTGATGCAATTTAAGTGCACCACTGTATTCCACACGTTAAATGAACTAAACGAAACAAAATGAATATTCCCTCATAACTGAGAGAGTGATTTCAAAATGAGAGGGTTGCATTTTTGTGTCACCCTGTATGTTTTGAATGTCTTACCTTGTCTCACTTGGATTGGATTAAGGTCTGCAGGTCTACCAGTGAAGGCTGAAACAATAAAAAAGATTATATTTAATCAAATCCTAAATACCTCAGAGTACTCAAATTATCTACCTTGTATGCAGTTGGATTATGCACCTACAGGACAAACAATCAAATATCATATTGTATTTATTCTGATTTGATTTTCAGAAAACCTAAACATGACCAAAGAATATGCCAGTTTTTGAAGAAATAAAATAAAAAAAAACTAAGAGTAACCAGAGACTATTAAAGCAATTTAAAAAAGCCGTATACACTCACTTTTGTCTCAATCCTAATAATATACATGTAATTGTGTTAACAAATGTATAACAATTTACTGTTGAATAAAAGAAAAAATGTACACAAATATTATTTTAACACTAAACTTGGATTGTGAGTTAATCCAAGAAAACATGAACCATAATACATACCATATTAACTATTATTTATGTATTTACCTGGTGTGGATGACTTGGTAGAAGGAGGGGGTGAGAAACTCCTTGCGAATGGCTCCTCTGGATAACTTTCACTGCCAGCAGGGGGAGCCCCAAGTCTGTTCTTGAAACGTGGTGGCACTTTATATGTTGACCCAAATATATTAGTCTGTTGACTGCCAAATGTGTTGCCCTAAAAGCAAACACCATGTAATGTAAAGACTCATGCTATATACATGTAATTTCAACAGGTACTTTAGTATACATATTAATTATCATAGTAAAATAACTTCAATTTACAGAACTACATTTCAGACTCATGATAAATCTCCGAATCATTTCCTAATCGAACTTCAGAAGCTCAATCAAATACCCAAAACCTGATATATTAGTACTGTAGTATGTGTATCAAATATGAATCTATGTGTATCAAATATGAATCTATGCGTATCAAATATGAATCTACCTCTACCTGTATGTGTGTCAAATATGAACCTGATATTATACTACGGTATATCTATGTGTATCAAATATTTTGAATTTCAACCCAAAACTAAAAGTTTAAACATGAAATGTAAACAATAAAGTATAGCCTATATAAGCAAATACAGCAGCAAAGCAGGGGGATCTAAATTTGTTTTTACTTTTCTGGCTAAACCAAATGTGATGTTCACCACTCAACACAGAATCAGAATACAGTATTTACAGAATGGGCCAAAAATGTCAATTCTTTTTATTACAGTAATGCTTTTTTGTAATTCATGTATTTCAATAACATTTTCGCATCATATACAGCAATCAACTGTATAATAGATCTTAAAATGGCATCATTATATATTGAAATGGCATAATTATATCTTCAAATGGCATAATTATAGCAGTACATGAATAAGTAACAGTAGCGTAGCGTGGGCATTTTGTGAGTGTACGCCACAAGTTTTGAGAATTTGAAAATGAGGTTGCATTTGGAGCATTCTGGGGCATTTTAAAATACGAAATTCTGACTTATATGACTAAGAAAATCAGAATTATTGGCCATTTTTAAAGTGTGTGGCAATTCAATCTCAAAAATCAACTTTTCTCTAAATTGAGAGTATGCGTACAACTACGCCATTGAGTAAGGTTAACATTTAACAGGGGTGTGATTGTGAATGCGAACTCCTATTCTTAAGGTAATGTTTGATGTTGCAATTTAGAAGTGATCTTAATAATATTGGAACCAGATGTACAGTTCTATAAGATAGTCACATTGTGAATGGTGCTTATCCTATAGTATTTTAGAATATCTATACTAGTAAAATGTATTAGTCTTTGTGCTGAAATTTCTAGGAGTACATATTTTGGTGAATTTCCTAACCCATTATTGACGTGGCTATAAGCAATAGGAGGATATCAAGACCAAAGAGGAAGATCAGATGTACTGGTTCACCTTCAAGAAAGGTGGGACTAAGTGACCATCCTCTTGGTGAAATTGAATGAGTCAGATGTTCTTATGTTGGATAAGGAAGATAAACAGAGTACAAACCTGAGGCAAAAAGAACACTAAAATTTGTTTGTATAATTTGTGGGCCCAATCATAGCCACTGGCTCAATCTAGCACTGCACCAATCTTCCTTACCAAAATTAAGATCTCAAAAAAGTTTCCCCTGTTCAGGTTGATATTCCCAATCATTTTTTCCTGATTCTAAATCAATTTTTGTTCATTTTTCTCCGAAAGAACCAAACGCCACTTAACCCATCATTGAACCAACTATAAGCAAAGGAAAGATGATCACTATATTCGGTGAGTAGGTATATCTACCACTACCACCTTGATTTAAGAACTATTCCTTCAATATTGAGCTGATTTAAGTATAATTTAATTGTGCTAATTAAGGCTCCCTAAACTGTTAGATTCAGAATGAAAGCATTGAATGCAAAGCTCACAACAAGGCCAAAGCTTTATTTTCACCAAGTACCCAAGTTATGCAATACAATGTGATACTTTCAACTTACAGAATCTGCAGTCACATTTCTTTTTGTCAAACCCTTTGCTGCCTTAATAAACAACAAACATGTTTATCAATGACATCAAGGTGTTTATCAATGACATCACGGTGTCACTTAAAAGTTTAAGGTAAGGCAAACACAAACATGCATTCAAACAAAAAAATTAAAATGTCTAACCTTGTATTCATGAATGCAACTAACGCCTGTCGGCTACCAGATTAACCTCATGACCAATATGAATAAAATAGTGGCAGGTACAATTCATATTTAAATGAGTTGCCCATAAAATAGTTAGTTAGTAGCCGACGGGCGTTAGTTGCATTCACGAATACAAGCTAAGTGTTGGTAATTTCCACTTAAATTACACTCGTATTTATCCTACAACCATTTATAGAATTATAAATAATCTGAAATTGTATTTCTCATATGAAAGACTGTACATCATATAGATTTAAATTGAAGCAAAACATTTGGGAGAGGTTATAAAGAAATGTACAATGTCTGACAATTGGTCAGTCATATTGAGACTATTTCATTGAAATACATTAGATTCTTGGTTATTCATTTTTCAATGGCACAGTCTCAAAATGTACGTACATGTAAATCTATATTGGAATATTGGGTATAACTTTAAAAAAATACATGCAATCAGTCAGAGATGAATATATTTTAAGCTATACATGTAGTTCTTTTGAATTTTACATGGCTTTTTTATTCAATGCACATTGTTGCTTAGTCAAAGTGACACAACCTCAAACTCAACCCTACATAACAACAAAATCAAAACAAACTGAATCTTCAATTCACTTTGATACAAACCTTCTCTTCTGTTAATATAAAAGCTTAAACAAAGCATTAACATGCAAATTGTCACCGCCTGCCATTTGCCAGACACTCACTGCCGAATGACGACCAGTGAATGCAGACTGCCAAACACCATCCACTTCTGGTGCTGACATAAATATAAATTGTCTAATAAGTCAGAGCATTTTCAAAAGGAGATGAATTCTCTTTCTTTGACATGTACAGAAAAAATCATGTCGGTTTCTTGAGTAAAGTTGTGGCATATGTGGCTTAGAATAACAGAGTTCGAATCACTACATACTGTAGTAGTGAATTATTTTATAAGCGTTTATTTATTTCATTAAAGAAAGTGTGTAACATAGCAAATGAACTACATGCATGTTAGTTAGTCTTACAATATAATAAAAAATATAAATAAATATGCCCTCACAAATTAAATATCTTCTGTTTAGCGGTGTCTAGCTGGTCATTCGGAAAACTTCCCTTTTAACATTTTAATGTCTCATATTTTCCTTCATTTTGACACATCTTTTGGATGTTTGAGTAAAATATGTGTACAAAAACTAGTCATATCCTGCTTAACAATCCTGCTAAACAAGTAATAACAATTAATTTGTATGGGCCTTAGTAAGAGGAGCAAATTATTCTATGAAGTTCTATTAAGAATTCCATATTTACACTATAACCTTCAGCTCCCTGGTAATAACCTGCTTGATAATACTCAGAATAGCTGTCCCCATAAGAACAATCTTGTTGTTCGTATTGTGGACTGTATCCGTAAAAGGAACTATCGTTAGGGAATCCATAATTGTCACCGTAAAAGGAACTATCGTTAGGGAATCCATAATTGTCATAAGTTTGGTTGTCATAGTAACTAGAGGGAACAGTGCTTTGATAGTACTGAAAAACAGATTGATAAAGAAAAAGTTTTCAAGGCATTCACATTGTTGTGATCATTTTGCAAGCAAGCCTATTCTAATATTAATGTGCACACAGACATGGGTAGTATTTATGCCCTGATTAGATAGTGTACTGGGATATGTGGGGGTAATTCCTGTTTTGGAAATTTTTCATCGAATTTAGTAAGCAGAATTTTTGGCCAAGTTGGAAGAAAGCTGTATTTTATTCAAATAACCGCAGCTCATTTTCTTACACCAATTCCAGCTGAAAGATGATTTATCAACAACTCATATGTAGTCCGCGATGTGTGTAATTACAACTTAATATGGTTCTTTGATTGACTGGCATTTTGTTTTCCATTGCCAAGTTTTTTATCTATACATTCACATTGGTTCAAAAATGGAAAGAAGTTTGAAAAGATTTATGACCTCTTTGATAAATCTAAATATTAGAAGTGTTGTCATCACACCAAATGATATTTATACTACCAGTATTCTTGAGCTCAGCTAACAATCAGTTCATGGATATTCGTTTTTGGGTTACCCTGTAAGTTAACAAGACAAGTACACAGCCAATATAATTCGACGCCGTTTCGGCATCGAACAAATTCGGCACCGTTCCGGCACCGTTTCGACACCGTTCCGGCACCGAAACCTTTCGACACCAAAATTTGCTACCGGACTAGTCAGTCCATTTGGTGCCGAAACGGCACCGAAATTTGGCACCGAAACGGTGTCGAAAATCAGATTGCATTTTGGGGGTGTAGGGGTGAATTAAGTCTCCCTAATAGAGCAAAACACCTAAAGAAATGATCAAGACTAGTTTTAAATACCACTGAGTACTCCTGAAAATCTAAAATCAATCCCTCAAACAGTTGCCTAAAAATGTTTTGACAGATTTCAGGCATGGCTGAATTATAAATTCAAAATGTCTACTAATGGTCTATACTTTCAAATGATTGAGAAATCCTGAAAATCACTCATTCCATAGTTTAAGACAATTATGATAAAGTAAGGCACTGCTTGAGAGCAGGCACTGACACCTTGCCACCCCTTCCAACAACAATATACATGCAGTATGTTAATTTTAAGCATTCAACATAACATATTAACGCACAACACAAAAGCAAAATTTATGCGATACAAATGGGAATATATATCTATTAACTTACTTTATTTGAGCCATGCTTGTTAGTTACGGTGATCTTTAAACAAAACAACACATCATGTATTATGATAAAAATGATTTTAGTGACATTCTATTATATTGATTACACTTTTGGAATACATCCTATGTGTATGTTGCCTGTCTATTGCTTATTTGTTATTTACTATAGTTGTTCAGGCTAGTAGCCAGGGGGTGGGTAATTCTAGTCAAATGTGAGCCCGTTTGAATTTTAAGAGGAGTGCTTCCCCCTTTGACAAAAGCAGGCCTGTTGTTTTACATTGTTACATGGTGTCTTTAAAATCGATACAGTGGTTATCAATGTTCATTTCCACCCTCAACAACCACTCATACATCTAACCATGGTTGTAACTACAATTGTTGTATCCATGGTATATCCATGGTTGTTGCATAAATTGAACTCCATTGATCTTTTTATAAGGGTGGCCACTAGATGCCCATAAGATAACACATAGCATGTATGTTAAATGGGCTCAAACTACTGAAAATATTTTGATTTAACCAACGAATACATGCTGAACTCTCCTTTAATTCTACTTCTAAAGCTGTACTTAGAAACACAATAAATAAAAATAAAAACAGAAAATTTAGCAAAAACTGAAATTCAAACAGGGAATAATGTTAGTTATTATGGTGTCAGTATCAGTATGCAATAATCAATTTACAAAATACTTAACATATTAATTCTATCATTTAAACTTAACTATAAATAAAAACAGAAAATTTGGCAAAAACTGAAATTCAAACAGGGAATAATGTTAGTTATTAAGGTGTCAGTATCAGTATGCAATAATCGATTTACAAAATACTTGACATATTAATTCTATCATTTTAAACTTAACTATATCTGACATCTTATATAATCGAAATTTTCTAGGCAGACAAATAAAGTTTTATCCAGAATAGTTTTTTAATGATAATCATTAATAAACATACTTTTAATCCACCATAATTGGAACCTTGATTTGCAAATGGTTTAGAAACAGGAGGGAATGACTTTGGCTTTGGCTCAAATGTTCGTCTCTGTGGTGGAGGTCCCCTAGGGGTATGACTAAGGCGGGGACCAAAGCGATTGAAGTGAGACGGCCCATGGAATGTCGGCCTTCTGGATGACCTCTGAAAAAACAATGCATCATTTCTTCATGTTTTATTTTTGCTTTAGTTTATAATTATAATATTGAATATTAAGTTGAAATCAAATACATTACTTTAAAAATATTTACTATTTTCAAGTTATTGTCATTCAATACAGTGATCTCCCAAGGATATTTTCTAAGGTGGGTGCAAAATTCTCATTTTCACAATTCAGACCAAAATTGGTCAAAATATGCCAAATTTTCATGATTTTTCTCATTTCCAAGTGTGTGCAAATTGATTTTCAGGTCGGTGCTGCGCCCAATTGCTTTAATGCTGGGGAGATCACTGTAATAATATCAAAGTCTGTATCTCATGTTTATCAACCTCTTGAATCCCAGGCTCTAAAATTGGCATGAAACCAGAGAATTTTTCATTTTTTGCCACCTTTTGACATTTTATTACATACCTATACAACTTTAGATGCTCAGCTTAGTCAAATTGGACGGCAGAGATCATTTCTACACGTTTTAAAATAATTTTTGTGTAAATTGGATGAAAATTGTTCAAATTAGAGCAATTTTTGTGAAAAAATTTGTGACGGATTTTCTCGTCCCTCTGGGCACCAGTCTTATTTCATTTGTGACGGATATATCCGTCACTCTGGGTATTCAAGAGGTTAAACATATAAATAATCTTGATTTCATTTCAAATGCAAAAGCATACCAATGGTTTTCCTCTTTTCTTGGTAGATTTTTGGGCTTGTACCATCTTTTGAATGTGGGCGGTAGAGGCATCAGCCACAGAAAAGTAAGCTACTTGACCATCTTTGGACCTGAAACAAGTAAGAACAGACAAAACACATAAGAAAACAGACTGTGGATTGGTGAGCGTGCATATTAAACTAATTTTTGCTTTCATTTTATCAGTTTTCTATTAAGTTCTGATTACATGTATGACTTAACACTGATATCAATAGAACATATCAATTCAAGAAATGGGAAATGCCTCACGAGGAAGCACAAAAGGCAACACACACATCATAAGGATAATACATAAAACAATCCAGTAGGTTCAAATGAATGCTCAATAAAATGCTCCTTTTACCTGCATAGTCTAACTACATCTACATCTATTTCAATGAAAGTATCCATTAAAATATATTTTCAGTGCATTTAATTTTTTTTAACTTAACACAAAGTGCACAAAGAGCAACACAATATAAACATGTAATAAACAAGCCAGAGAGTTTAAATGATTATTTAACAAAATGATTTTCCTACCTGCCAAGTCTAGCTACGTCAGGTACTGCTAAGATGAACTCATCTAAGGATTTGAAGCCAAGCTCTCTGAATGGCAATGGCTCCATGCAGATACCTCTGTATTCTCCTGTAAACAAGAGAGGCTACCTGTTAGAGAACTCATTTTCATTTAAAATCATTTTCTCAAAAATTAGATCAATAAAACTTACAAGGAAAAGTACATCATAGTAAAACACTAATCTATACCTTTCGAATAAAATTCTTATCAAAACATCGCTGAATACAAAAGAGTTTTTGTAAGCATTATATGTTATAATGAATGAACAATGTGATGACGCGAACATCTTGTAAAAGAGCATTTCACGCCATGTATGGCTGCTTTTGAATGATTTTAGAACAATTGTATAAATTGAATAAGTTTAATACGTGAGAGGCGATCTGCTACGACTCCCTCCTTGCTGGACATGAGCACTGCCCGCAACATGGACTTTACATCCTTTAACTTCTTTTCCTTGTCCATTGTCCCTGCCAAAAAGGCCCCTGGAACATACAAACATATCATCTCTTAATGCTTGCCAATAACATGCATTGCTCAACTGATTTATATAATTTTATCATATTTTAACAACTTAAGTTAAGTCAAGAATCAGAAGCCCAGCCCAAATGTTAAAACGTACCAGCACTCTGTAAAACTCCAACTTGTATCAGAAGTGATGATTTGTAGTCTAAATTGTAGCAAATACAGGGAAAGAAGTCTCGAAAAATCTGAAAATAAATTTCCATGAAGATTCATGATCACATGTAATTGACATAGTATGCTATAAACATGTATGGCTTCTTAAGACTTGATTATAGCCATCTTCAATGTAACCTAAGGGCATCAAAGGACCTTTCACATACTGTTAAGTTGACATGAGGTTATTGATGTGGTGATATATTGTAAAAAATCTGACAATGCCCCGGATCTTCACCTGATACCAAGGGTTTGTCCGGGAATGCCCTGTGGCCAAGAATGCCACTATGTTCTCTAAAAAATCAAGATGAGTCCTAGACATGTCCTAAGACTAGGAGTAAGGAAGAGCTTACAGTAGTTACTACAGTGCTCACCATAAAGAATTACAAAAGCTATGGAACATGCTGTCGCACATGTAATAAATTCTTACCTCAGTGTATTCAGTGCTCTATTTTCTCCATCCTAGTAAGTCCAGATATATTAGTGGAATTGGTGTCCATAATGACAAATAAGAACTTAAAAATCTGAAGTGGAATTCACATGTTAATGCCGACTCTTCAAATGTTGAGGTGATTTTGGAGCCAGATTATGCGGCAATGTGGATTGTGTCAGCTTTCAAAATGCCGTTCCACCATTTTGAAATCTGTCACAAGTAAATAAGGTTACCTGATGTTGCATTCTGGGAATCAATCCTCCTTGGATCACAAACATGGCGATTCATGAAAACATTCGTTCGATTTGGTAGGGATTTATCCATCATTTGCACTTTTGCAGGTATGAAGCTTTGGGTTCATTTATTGTGCTACTTAAAGTCAATGGGAATTATTTTTCTACCGCTTGTGAGAGTTTGAGACACGAAACTTAGAATTTAGCTCATGACAACTTTTGAGGGTTGAGATTTATTGAGACCCTATCTGTTGCAAGACTAACGCCTGGCGTAACCGTCACCATGTTATTCAGTGTTTTTTAAGTAGCGCAAGGATCCTGCCATGACCGTGGTAATGTTATCGTGAAAGCCTGGTATAACCGCGACAATGCAGTATTATATTGCAATGCCTGCCATGACCGTGACAATGTAATATAGTTCTGCAAGGCTTGGTATGACCGTAACAATGTAATATAGTACTGCAAAGCCTGGCATGACCGTGACAATGTAACATAGTATTGCAAGTTCAAGTATGAGAGTGGTAATGTAGAAATTTACAATTAGGACTGCTATAACCGTGACAATGTGTATTGCAAAGCCTGGCATGACCATGCCAATGTAATATAGTATTGCAAGGCTTAGTATGACCGCCATGGCAATGTGATATAGTATTCCAAGTTCGGGTATGAGAGTGGTGATGTAGAAATTTATGATTGCTATAATTGACCGTGACAATGTGTATTTGAAAACCTGGCATGACCATGACAATGTATTATGGGATCGCAAAGCCTGGTATGGCCGTGACAATGTAATATAGTATTGCAAGGCCAGGTATGAGGGTGGTAATGTAGAGATTTAGGCTTAGTTCTACTATGACCGTTATAATGTATTGCAATGACTAGTAAATATGTATGACATTAATGCCAGGAATATCCTTAACAATTTTAAATGATCCTCATTACAATTAAACAGTTTAATACCATGATCATGGTGTTTAACTACCTTAATCATGTCAAAATCAAAATTACTACTATACATTAATATTCACATTCGGTTATAAACCACAATAAAGGCTACGGTCGCGCCAGGCTTCCACGATAACACTTCCAGGGTCATGACAGGCCTTGCAATAGAATACAACATTGTCACGCTTATACCAGCCTGTCACGGTTATACCAGGCTTACACGATAACACTACCACGGTCATGGCAGGATCCTTGCGCTACTTAAAAAACACTGATTAACATGGCGACGGTTGTGGCAGGCGTAAGTCTTGCAATAGATAGCATGTGGATTTATTTTTGCACCCCAGCCCATTTTACATTGTAGGACTCGACTCAATTTATACATGTTCCCGGGTCTATGCTGAATGGGGAGCTCGGCGAAGGACTAATGATTCTAGTAAAAGACTGGTGGCCGAACTCCCAATCAGATTCAAATCTATGTGACAGAGGAAGCAGCATCCATCATCCATGTGAAAATTTGTTTCTGGTTTGAATAAAAAATGGAACAGAAATCTAGGCTATGTCGTTTAGTAAAGAAACTTACTGAGATATCGATCGATAGCTACGGACAATGTCTAATGTAAGGCACACATCAATTCATAAATAATCCATGAAGGTGCGTAGCTAAGAAGGAATAATACTTCGCAAAAAACTTTCTGCAACATACAGCAAGGTCAGCCTTCTAAATATGGCGGTGTTGCAGTAAATTTATGAACGCAAAAAATTGAACTATATGTTCGTAGTTTTAATATGGCAAAACTTTTGGACCAGTGTGAAAACTAACTTAAATCGCCTTTTGTATTGATTTAAAGGTTTTTAATCTAATTTTGATCTCTTGAATTTTATTTGTGACAGAAATATCCGTCATTCTGGGATTGTCATACTCAATTTGTGCCAATAAAGACCCATGCATAAGGGGGACATAAGGCCATTCAAACTAAAGATAAATATATGTTTAATGTCCTTTAACTACTTTTTTCTTGTTATAAATTCTAATGACATGCTTTTCTTGAAAACAGTGACCTAATAATAAGATATTTTGATAAATGAAGTTCCCGCTCCGATTGAAAACAGATTATCTTTTAACTTCAATACTATTCATACATGCTGAACACCGAACCAGCCAAACACCATCCATAAAAAAGTTGGGAGATTATAACAACATGTCACCACTTCAGGTGCTGACACAAAAAATCTTTAACAGTGTGTCTGTCATTTTATTAGTTACTTTTGTGATGTTTTGTGGTATTTCAAACACTGAAGTATCGGAACTTTTCAGTGCAACGAGCAGGGAACTTAACTCAAAATTGTTTATCAATTCCCTTGTGGATTGGTTTCTATACTTGTCAAATATATCATTTATGTATTCAGGCATATTGCCGTTTACAGTGTTGAACAGAAGATTTATTTTCATTTGTCTTCTTGTCTCAAGGTAGAGCCATTAAACAATGAAGCATAGAAATAAATTAATGGCTAAATATCTTAAAAAGCAGTCAACAGAGACTTTTACTTGGTCAAAAATAATAATTTCTGGGGAACTAAAACAGTCAAGAGTCCCCATTTTCTTCCATTCAAGGAAACTTATCTCTGGTAAACAGGTGAATGGAGTTTTAGCAAATAGGTGCCTTTCAAAGATTGTGATTTAATCCTTTTTTCGTTTGTTTGTGTACTCAAAACAAAAAATCTCATACATGTTAGGGTATGAGATTTTGCAATCTAGATGTCTGCATTCTATACTCCTCCTAACAGCATTGTGTATGACAGTCGTTCATTATGACAATCATAGAATATTGGACAAACTATATAGTTATATTATGCCTATAGTTTTTTTTATTGATTTCATAAAAATCTACATTATACAGCACAACAAAAAGTATTTACATTTAAAATCACCATAATAAACTCATGATTTTGCATCTAACAGTTTTGTAGTTAGATCATTTTCATACATTATCATTACTCAAATACACTAAAATTGCAGAAATCATAAGTTCATAAATAGAATTAAAATCAATATGACATTGAAAATTATACATAATATTTAGTTGCATTTCTGTATAAGTCTAGTTGGATAGGCCAACATGTTTTATGGTTTGATAATTTGATAGATAAAACTTTAATGTAGGTTCAATTTGGTATTTTTAAATAAAGAACCCGAAGACGAGGTTGGTAAATTGGAAAATGATTATTGATGGATGAAATATTGTCATGTCAGTTACAATAAGTAAATATGAAAATGAGTAGCCCTTTATGAGTTATTTTCATCTTATAGTTTCAGATTAAAAAAATTATATTTTTCACATATAACTTGGCGATGAAATTCTGACCGATGTAATAAATATATGGTTTCAGACATTCATGCTGTTACACTTTTGTTTATTGCAAAGTTATACGCCCTCACAATATATTATGAGTTGAATGCTCTTGCTTTTTGATAGTTCACCATGTGCAAAAAGGGCAAAAGCACTAAACTATGATTGATTAGTGATATATATATTGTACATGTATATGCAATATATTTAGTTTATCTACAAGACCCAGTGACCCCCCCCTCTACTTGACTACTCAAGTTCTCACACAGAAGAGAGGGGGTCACAAGGGCTTGTAGATAGTCTGTAATATATTGTATATTGTATGCTCACATTGACCATAACACTGTCCTATGATTCGCAGTACAAAGTCTAAACAATCAATCATGGTTGATCAGACTTTAACTCCTACATATTATCAGAGTGATTACATATATCGTTACATCCTATTGTGTTCTGAAAGTATGCTTTGAATGGATAAAGCCTCTTCAGGCAAATTGAGAAAACAATTTACAGAAAAGAGAATATAATTCATATACTCATCAAATACAACTGACTTTCTGTTTGATTAATACATTATTAAAACATTGATTAAATAACTAATAATTTCACAATTTAATCTAATGTTGAGCAAAACTGAATCTGATTGACATAATTAAGCTGCAGGGTTCAAAACTTATCAAGCTTTCACAATATTTGAGCAGGCTACATGCATACATTTTTTATAAAAATATATTTGAAAAATATCATGTCTTCTTTTTCCAAAATTGATATCTAATGTTTTTATTTCCATTGACATGATTTCACTTTACATCTTTACAAAAACAGATTCATTGATAAAAATTGGAACTGACTGGATACTGCCATTACGAAGAAAATCTAAATTTTCCCGTTTCTTTCAACTCATATAAGACAGATTTCCTCAATCATTGTCAATATGGTTCATGGACGACACAATCAATTATAAGTTGTTTCACTGATGTTAATCATTTATCTGTTACCAGTAAGACTGTATGCTGACCTCCTGAAGATACAGCTATAGTTTTCCTGAAATACAGTTTCTAACATTAAACCAAGGAAAGAGATATAATGGCAAGTTTAATTATCAATATGAGTACATCTGAGAACACACATCAGGATATACAGTATTACAGATTTCAATAGTGATTTTATCGTAAAGAAAATATTTATTTTATTTTGCTAAATTGTCTTGTGTATATTTGATTTAATTGTAAATTCAAAAACACGAGGGTATGTCAAGGACAAGGTCATCAAGATATCTCTCAGTAACAAGAGAAACTTTTATGTTTAGTCATTTCAATCATTTGGAGCTTCTTAAATTCAAACTTAGTCTCCTACTTGTTTTCTAGCTGCTTTCCTTGTAGAATGGTTGGTTCAAAACAGTCATCGTCTTCAGTCTGAGCTAGCTGTTTACTAGTTCCCATACCCCAGCCATAACAAATACCTGGAATATAAAACGTAAGGTTTAAAGGACATCACTGATACATTTACATCTGTCATAATGCAGTGATTGATTTTACGAAAATAAGTCTCAATATAATGCATCTATTATCTTGCTCTATTGACGGATAGCGAGAAAGTTAATTGGATTGATACCTTGTTTTTACCATACATAGTATGTTACTATACATGTATATCCATTTTTGCATTTTAAGTTTCTAGACATATTCAATCTAATTAATTGGTTTGACTGCTCAAAATATATACATAACAAGGCATTAACATGCAAAATATCACCACCTACCATTTGTTAAAGACAGTGGCAGCCAAACACCACCAAACAACTGCTGAACACCACTTGTGGTGCTGACATAAAATTGATCAAAATATTTGCGATACATATTCACTGAATTGTAGCATGCATACCTTGTTCATCTATTGCAAAGGACACTGCTGAACCAGTTGCGATGCAAACACACTTGTTATTTAGTTTTTCATTGACAGTTGGCTTTGCTATTTCTGCCTTGACGTCTTCACCCAATCCTAACTGCCCATAGGTTCCTCTGCCTAATGTATACACCTTTCCTAGAATATAAGATACGGAAGTTGTAAAAATAATTAACCCAAACTAGTGCCTGAATGATGGGTTTGACTGTTGTTCAGGTATTAATTGAAACATTCAATACATGGATCCATATCCGATATTCTGGAAGATCTGCTTTTATGTTTTCACTTTCTTCATGTGTGTTCATGTATTTCATCTTATTGTATTTCCTCATTTTCTGATTTCTTTTAAAACATTTACCTTCTGAGTCAAGTGCCACCAGATGGTGCTGACCTCCACTGATAGAGAGCCATTCCTTTCCATCAAAAGATGGCACCCTTGTAGGGACGAAACGGTTTGACAAATCATTAATACCTGGAACCATACAACAAAAAGTATAATAGCTGTTTTGTTCTCAAAAACTACCAGACCTGGATAGTCTAGAATATGCATATATGACTCATGCTGCTATCTATCTGATTGGTCTAAACATTGTCATGGTATAACCATCTGGGTCAATGATTGAAAAATATTATGATTCAGTAGAGTAACGTGCAAGACATTTCACAAAACAAACAACAACATTCATATTTTCTTTCAATGTACATATTCCTTAAATGCTCATATTTTACAGAGAACAAGTTGAAACATTTGAAACCCACTTTAAAGTATGTTAAATCTAGTTGATTGCCATCTATACTCACCTAGCTGGTAATAGTTATTAAGACCCCATGCATAAATCTCATTAGTGTCAGCTACTTGGGCATATGTTGAGTACGTGGACACCCAGATATCTGAAAATTTCCGTTTGGATCCTTTGCTTTTTTTAAAATGAACCTCTCCTGGTAATAATATCAGGTCTGGAAAAAGAAAAGAATCAATCATGATTAACATATTTTGCCATGATATTCCCCCGACTGTAGAAAATAACATCTGTGTAAAGGATTTGGGATCATTTAATCTTGAAATTATTTTACAAGTCTCCCCGTGAGCCTATATCTTAATGAGCCAAAGAGTATGCAAATATAAATGTATCCTCCCAAAAGCACACCTTTTGTTAAGTGGTCTAGGCGGGAGTACATAAATTCTGATATGAGACATGATAAATACTCACCTAATCCTTTTCTACCCCCTCGCTGTGAAAAACATTCTGCTACACGTCCTAACTGACCCTGCTCTGCACACCCTAGAAACATAATCAAGCATCGACATCTTATAAGAGTACAAGAGAGGAAATGGAGATTGATTAAACTATGAATTGCTGGATTTTTCATCCCTAATAGAATATAGCATGCAGAGCTGTTATTTTTCACACACTGACTTAGTTTCAATGGAGTGGATGTACAAAAATAGTAACATCTTTTTTGTGATACAAGGTCATGTATGATGGGTTTAATAGCTATGAAAAGGTAGGATCTTAGATACGAGACAGCATCTTGAAAATGTACCTAGGGTAAAAATCTCCCCAGCATCTGATAAACAGACCAGAAAATCTCCTCCTGAGGCAATCTTGACGATTGTTTTGTCTTCTAAGATGGGAACAGGAGTGTTTTCTGTCTTCCCCGCAGCGAGCATTCCCATCATACCATTTGCATCCTAGAAAATAATATAAACAATTAAATTACTCTAACTTGTATAGCATTGAAATATTTTTCATGAACGTTTAGAATGGTTAAGAACTGTTTCTGAACATTTTCTGATGACAACTTTACGACAGTTTCTCATTAAAACTGGTTATCTGAGTACAAGAAGTCATCTAACAACAAAAATCTGATCGGTGAATTCAAACAAGTACTGCAGTAAATTCATCCCCAAAAAACATTGGGATCCCAGTGCAATGTTCTAAAATACAGGAGTTTCTATCTTAGAAAGTAAAAAGGAAGTTAGGGAATACCTACCCTGAAAGCTCCCCATATGTAGACCCTCCCATCATCTGCCAAGGCTGCCGTGTGGCTATCCCCTGCCGACACCATTATAATCTTAGCACCCAAGTTTTCTACTTTTGCTGGGGACATCTCACTGCCATCTTCAGATGTATCGTGGCCCAATGCTCCATCATCATTGCAACCAAATGTGTAGATCTAGAAACCAGCAATACCGATTAAGTATTTCTGAATTAACCGATCCAGATATCCAGCAAATTTCGATATGCGATTCTTATTTTTTATCGATGAAAAAAAACCATGTGCTGCTTTTGATGTGACTTGAATCCTCCTTTTGCATAAGCAACTTGTTTTTTTCTAAGTGATAATTACTCGGCAATTTACTGAAAGGTTCACCTCAACTCAGATTTTTTCAGAGCAACAATTCTAAATTTTTTTTGGGGTGAATAGAAATATTTTAAAGAAAACAGAGATGCCTACCTCTCCATTCTCTAACAAACAAACTGTGTGCATGCCACCAGCTACAGCTTGTATGACAGGAGATGGTAGCGCCACCTTTCCTGGTTTAGTACGATCCAGTATATTCTCCCCCATCCCTAGCTGACCGACATCTCCCTCTCCACAGGCCAGAACTGTCCCCGACAACTTCTGGTGGGAGCGGTGGTAAACTGGAACAAAACATAAGGTTCATTCAAAAATAATAACCAAAGTTTATAAAACAAGGCATTAACATGCAAATTGTCACCACCTGCCATTTGTTATCCACAAAAGAGTCTGAGACCATAACAATATGTCACCATTTCTGGTGATGACATGATAATTTCAATATTGAATACAGAAAACTAGTAATCATGCTAGATAGCAATGGAAATTGTGCTTTGTCTGATATTGAATTTTTGAAGTCTTCTCTAATCTTACAGAGGCATCAGCATAGAAAATGTTATCATCTGTCATTTGTTACAGATGCCAAATGCCAAAAACCAACCATGAACTGCCAAATACCATCCACAAAAAAGTTGGAGACTATAATAATATGTCGCCGCTCCTGTTGGTGACGTAATAAGCCTATTCCTAAATGAATCCAGAAATTTACTTACTAACTCGAGGAAAGTGTGTGTTAGGGCATAAAAAACTTACTTTTGGTTCTCTTAGCTGGTTGACTATCTGCCCCTCCCTTATTGGCCACAGGTGTAGCTGTACTGCCCCTCTTTCTTCCACGTGGAGCAGGCATGATGATGCAAGTGGCGCTTGTTAATAAATGGTTGGTGAAGTCAGTGTTGTTATCTAGTCTCTCTGCTGTACAGTTTGCTGGCTCGTTAAAATCATCAAAACTCAGGCGAGAGTTAAAATCATCAATATCTAGTTCAAGACTTGAAATACATGTGGGTTCTCCAAAATCTAAAAATATTCATAAACTGATGTGATCATTTTTACAGAAAAGTTTGATTCTTTACTTAATTAAACGATTTCAGTTTGATATATAAGTTAAATTAAGCATGTGCAACATTTACACAATTAAATAATTAATATTTGAATTTCGCAGATATTTAACAATTTAATTGGTTAATTAAACAGTTTAACTGTGAACTTAATATCATAACGTTTAACAATTATGTAATGTCCTGCAATTAGAGAGATTAAAGGAAACAAAGGCTTAATTATTATAAACATCCTAACAGTTATTTAAACAAGAACGTGAAGTAAAAATACAAACAATATCATAAATATTAATTCCTGCGTATCAATCTTAGGCTATACAAGATCTCGAGAGTCGTCGGTAATTAGGACCTTATACTCTTACACATCTTTTTTTTCAAAACAATCAAACTTTTTCTTTCTCAAGCCTACACATACTGATCAATGCCTGAGTCACATTTGGTCTGACTCAATTGGCCAGGCGGCAGCAGATGGGTTGGAACAAATGTGACCGACGAGGCATTATCTAAATGTTTTTCTTTGCACAACTTAGAATTAGTTCATAGGTCTTTCTTTTCCAAGATCTAAAGTTCACCCTTATACAACCATATTAACACTGTTAGCTAGTTATCTTACCACCACCTTCCATTTAATTTATTTGTGTACAAACTCTGAAAAAATATATTGTATTTATTTTATGACCATACATCATAATTTATGATGATTGTATTATTGTTCTGCAATCACTATTAAAATTACTGGTAAAATATGAGATCTTAATGTGAATATGATCCAGTAAGTCCCATACAGATGTACCAATGATTAAAAAATTTATTGAAATATTCAGGATCCTTTATTTTCAGTTTTATTCAAAATTTTTAATGACGGGCACTAAGATTTCAATGTTAACTCCTCTGCTTGCATCAATAACTTATTGCATTTCATAAAAAGTAGCAAATATGCAGCAAGTCAATGAAAAGAAACCATTCAGCATCTTAGGTCCGACCCATCATCAATCAAATAAAAAGCTTTCTGCATATTTCTAACTCGATTTAGAAACTGCATAAATGTTTTGATTTCATTGTTAATTCACTCATATACCATGGTCCATGAATGTTTGCTTACGCAACGTTTGAAAAGTATTTCTTAGCATTTCATTTCAAATATCTTTGGTGAACATTTTGGACTAACTGTTTGTACTTTTAAATTCTAAAGTGACCTTTAACCCTTTATAATAAGAGATTGATGAGACTTTTTGTAACCTTGAGGGAACAAAGTCACTATAGTTTATAATCAACAAAGGTAAATAGTTATCAATGTGCCACGCCTACTCTGCAGTGTGGTTGTGACCTTTGAGGAACCCTGATTCAAGCTAACATTATTCTTCAAAATCGTATAATTAAGACGCTATGTATACACTTATTTCTTACCTGGATTTCTTTATGGATTCTATCATTTAGAAGTGAGGTTACATTCGGTTTATTCCAAAGCCAAGCAAAATCAAAATGAGATTACATATAAAACGAAAATACACACGAAGTTGATGGACATTTTGAATAACTGGCCGATTTAAAGATTGAAGTGTGTTCTGTGTACTAATTTGAGACTGCCAGAACTTTTTTGTTTTGGATCCGAGAGAAAGTTTAGGCTGGTGTTTAGAATCAATTGAGGTAAAAAATATGTGCGTAGCTAACGTAAAGTAGATATTTTTTACTTTTGAAATATAACATGTGGTTCTTTTGAATGCGCAGAACCCGAAAAGTTCTCAACAGGACCTCAAATTGTCTCATAACAGAGAGTGGTGCAAAGAGTCGAAAATATAATAAATATTTTATTGTAGATCGATTATATGACGCAATCTCAATCTTAAAATCATTGGTGTGTCACAGTTTGTTACAATTTTACAATCTATGCTTATTATGGCGTCATATGAATGAAATTTTGCCGGTTTCATTTTTGCTGATGGGCTTTCAAGAGAGCTTTTTCTGAATAATAAACATGAGACTATAATGAATACCTATGCATTCTAAATATGACTCGTAAGTGTAATATAATTAAATCTAACTCCAAAGGCTTTAATATCGAATAATAATATATACTTTACCTAAATTATCTGTAAAGGTAGAAATGTTTTTCTTTTTTTTAAATTTCACGCCGATTGCCACTGAGTCGATTTACTGCGCATGTTCCGGTTACCTGATCCCTTTTTGTCCGACATATGTCTCTCTATTTCTCTTATTTGACACATTGATGCACACTTGAATGCAATAATCTGCATTCCGGTTGATCATTCATTCTCTAGTTTACAAAATGTTATCAATAAGCAATGGATAAACGATAAATTTCATGTTTTATTCGCTTTCCGGTGTTTTGTAACTATAGTATGAACGTTTCCGTTTTGGAAATTTGGAAAATCGCTGCACACAAAAGTTGTTTGTTTATAGCAATATTATGGGTGATAGATACAATATTCATAGTCAGTTAGAGCATCTTCAATCCAAGTACGTTGGGACTGGTCACGCTGACACCAATAAATGGGAATGGATGACTAACCAGCACCGAGATAGCTTCGCATCATACATGGGACATTTTGACATGCTCAATCATTTTGCTCTGGTTGAAAACGAGTCAAAAGCTAGAGTGAGATTTAATTTTATGGAGAAAATGCTTCAACCTTGTGGTCCACCACCTGAGAGACCAGAGGACTAATATATTAACAATCATCAAGAACTTTTTGAACTCCTGCTACTCTGATCTACAGAAGACTACATTATTGGAATATTCTAAATTGTCCGCAAAGTGTTATATTTATCGATACATATCTTTTATAAAGTACAATCATGCAATTTCTAAGGAACGTCAAACAAATGTTCATAAGGGTGCCTCGTACAATGTTATGTGGATTTACATGTAGTAAAAGATCCACCTCTTACATTCCGAAGGCACCAACATGGTCGGCCATTGGTGATTCACAGCTACCACAATTTACAAAAATTGATACAGAAACAGTGGAACATTTGGAAAGGCAAGCATTAGTAGATTTCACCAATGAAGAGGCTATAGAAAGGCTTCAAAAAGCGATACGTTTTGCTGACCAACTCAGTCTTGTAGACACTACAAATGTTGAGCCAATGGACACTGTTTTAGAAAATTATCCTCTCTTTCTCAGAGAAGATGTGGTAACAATGGACAATACTCGTGAAGATGTTATGAGAAATGCAGTTGTGACTGAAGATGACTATTTTATCGCACCTCCTGGAAATATTCCGCTGGAGAAAACAAAGAAACATTGAAGAACTGTGGAGGTTTAATTTCTAAGCTACTTTATGCCTTCTTTACTCTATTTGATCAATGTGTAGGAATGAAGCATACAAAAGTGTAAAATATTGTGGTATTGTTCAACATAAAAACATTTTTATCTTTTTAAGGAAATCTATGTAGTTAGTGAATAAATAATGAATAAAAAGTGATTTCATTGTTTTCTCTTCGGTACTTATAACTCATTTTCCTAGCTTTATACCAGATATCCAATTCATTGAGGCATTTCTATACTCCTCCTACTCTTGTTAAAAGGCAAATCATTTTTTATATTAACAATACTAGTATTCAAATTTTAAGGTAGCTCTCCCTAGCTAAGAGGATCTGATGAGAAATGAATTCTTGTGATTTAAAGACATTTTTAGAGTCGTTTAGAAAAACCTCTTATTTCCATGTTGCATCATGCTTCTAACTCCCCTCCAGATTGGGAGGAAGCTAAGGACTTTGATACGAGAATAAGTAATCAAAGAATGGGTATCGATATGGCGAAATTTTTGAACACACGTTTCTCTTAAACCAGTTATCAAAAATTTCTGAAAATCTTACGAATTGTCAATTAAATGGCCATCTTTTGAATGGTAACAATATACTTTGAAATAGATATACACACTTTCATCTATATTGTTTTAAAAAACCCATCAAACACTTGTTTTGTTCTTGGTATCATGTTTCCAGAGGGAAATGAAACATCTTTCCGAACCTCATTGGAACAAAACGACATAAACACAACATGTTTAGGTCTCTCAATATTGTAATTGTACAAAGGAAATTTTGGTTGATTTTAAAAAAGTATCTTGTTAATGAAATAAGAGGTTTTTCTTGATTTTTATCTATTTTGGGGGGATTTTGTTTTAATTTTTTGAATACTTTTTTAAAATCAACCAAAAATTCCTTTGTATAACTTTTATATTGAGAGGTCTTTAAACATGTTGTTTATGCTATTTTGTTCCAACAAGGGTCGGAAAGACATTTTACTTCATTCTTGAGAACTGGTAGAAAGGAGCAAAAACAATTGCACTAAAAAAACAAAAAATGTTAACAAAAACAGTTATATAAAATATTTCTTAATAATTTTCGCATCAAATTGTTGTCAATCAGTCAACATTACATAAAACACCATGTTTTTTTACAGAATGTTTTCAATGATTGGTTAAGAGAAAAACATTGTTGAATTCAGTTCTCCATATCGATACCTATCCTTTACTTTGTTCTACATCTCCAATATGTGAACTATTGCATGCATTCCTTGTATCTGGGTCGGGAAAAGCAACATGGAACAAAGCAAACCAGAGCTTCTTGCTTGTAACCCTAGTATGTATCCAACAGACTGACTAGAAGTCAGTCTGTTATGATGTACTACTTTCCTGTGGAAATTGCAGTGAAATTTTTTGCACAAAATTATCAATTAGAGGAACCATTTATTCAATAAAATAAACATAACAAAATGTCAATTAAATAGTAAGGTACAACTAAATGCAATAAAAAGCAACACAGCATATTGTCAAGTGGAAATAAAGCTAGTTGAAGTAACAAATGTGCAAATTAATTTTACCCAATCAGCCATTTTGAATAGCACTTCCTATGTAAACAAATACTTTTAATTGCCAAACTTTAACATAGGTGCCTTATAGTCTGAATATAATTCAGACTAAATAGGATATAGTCTACTTGTAACCCCATGTGTACTTATTTGGAAGAGGATGAAAAACAAATTTTTCCTCTTTGACATTCAAATTTCTAATTAAGTGGCCAGTGTGTGCATTAACATACAAGAAAAGGATTCTTATGCATTGAAATTGTCTGAAAACAACTAATATGCTATCTGTGATTATTGCCATTTGTGAATAATGAATTACATGTACCTGTTGTTATCGGGTTATGTTGTTTTAAATAAAAAACATGACACGGTTTAGTGGTTAATTTAAAGATGGCAGCACTGTACTTAATATATGATACCTTCATCTGAAATGGAGGATATATAGATAGTTGACACAGTGGCATTATTTTATGAACCCTCTATCCATCACCCTAAGCCTGAAAGCCTTTAATATTTAAATTGGGCTACAATTTTCAAGATAATTCAGTTTGACATATTTAAAAAAGAACTCTATTGCAAAATTAGAAGTTTCAAACTAACAGATGGGTTTGTAGGCAAATGCTTTAGTCAACAGGTCGGTTTGATTTGTAGAAAAATACTACACTTGAGCATCTCTTAAAATGATTATAAGATGGCGAGCTGATCAAGTTGTCTAGTGCAAAGCTCTTATAACTGAACCTAACACTGGGCCATTATAAAAAGTTGCCATGGTAGCCCATGGAGTTCCATGGCCGTGCCACGGTATGAAGATTACTTAGACGAGCACTGCCATGGTAATCTGCTAACACCTGTTCTGAGTATATGTCGAAAAATGTCGCAATGCTGACAACAATTGCGCAATTTCTCCGGTAAATCAATCATAGTAAACAACCAAATGGATAAATATTCGCTTTTAAAGATTTCATTTCATTTTGTGCAATACCGTAAGTCCTACCTTGATTTTTTCCGTGACATTTGAATAAGTCTCATGGTTTCATTAGTGTCATAGACCTGATAATCAGATTAAAAGTAAATGTGCTAATTTACTGCTTTCTATCATAGAATGTTTCATAGAACGTTTATAGTATTCGTGAGTGGAAAATTAGATGTTTCAATGAGATACTGTCACATAGTGTATTCCTTTGGAAGTACTTGAATACTTTCAAACTTAAAAACATGGATATTCAATATTTTGATAATCTTATTTTTGCTGAAGCCGTCCATAGTATTAAAGTGGTAACAAAAACAGAGCGTAAAATGTTGGGATCAATCTTTTTAAATTCTAAAGAATTGGCCATTTCTGCATTTTAGGTCTTCAACTGATAACTACCACAATTGATCACTTATTTTTTCGAAAAACATTACTACTTTTAAGGGAAACATTGTAGGGCATACTTTTTGACAGATGTCTCTAACAGAAGTAAATGGATGTAAGTCAGTCTTGAAGAAATTTCCAAACTTAAATATATTTTGACACTGGTCCATAATAGTTGAATTGCCCCTCTGCACTAATTGTTGCACCTTTAAGTCATATTTCACAATGAATCTTTTAGCTAGCCAAATAAAGCCATTTTTAGTTTCAAAAGTAAAGATTTCAAAATTCAGAATCGACATTCAATATCATAAAAGTGAAGTCCAAACGACAAACACATGGAAATGTTGATTCAAAGAATTTTCAAATACCAACATATTTTCTTTTATCACTTTGATTGTTATAACAGTTAATGCTATAAAAAATTAGAGCCGTTAATTAGAAATGAATAATCAGCTATATAATACCAATATTAGATTATGAAATTATCATTATTAGCAGCGGTACTGAATAATTTGGAGAAATGTGGGATGGTTTATATAAAGGCCTGATATCATACCGAATACAATCAATTTCCTGCAATCTCAATTCAAGTCTTTTCACAAGTTTTATCGTTAAAACCACTTGGCTTAACAAAAGAAAACCATGAGCAATTGCAGCTAAGTTCTTGAATAAATAAACGGGCAAGAGAGGGAAGAATCCAAAGAATGAACGTACGAGAAGTCAGAATCTAACAGTGAACCATGGAAATGAGGCAGAATAAATTCACAAAAGAAGAAGCCACAAAACATTAAATCCTATAAAAATGTTAAATGAGATAATAATAGCCCGGGGCTTAAGCGGAACACACGAATGACGAGGATTTGGTTTTCGAGACGATTAATAAAAAATACGAAGCCAAAAATATGCTGTTTAAAAGTTGACGTTTTGACATACAGTTTTCTAGTGGATTCATGTGAATGCATTTCAAGTAGGGGGACTGAAGTCGTTTGCTTAGGTCCACTATCAAAACTTAGGAGCACAATATTAGAATTTATTTAACTCGAGTAAATACAAGTAAATAGCATCCACTACGGATATACAATAACACTTCAAAATACTCAGAAATAACTTTATCCAGTCTGAAACTTTCGGGAAACATTCAAACAGAACGTCAAAAGAAAAACAGGACGCAAATTCAATTGAGGCCTACGAGTTACTCAACACGAAACTACTTCAAACATTCATGTAAAATTAGTTTAGGAGTTGACGCACTTTGCCAAATATTCATTTGAAAATGAAATCGAAGATGTTTTACAGGCGACTTTTAACTCTCTTTTTTCTGGATATTGGAGTGTCCGGATTTGGACTCCTTCCATTACAGGGCGAAGATGATGGCGAATTCAACAAGAAAACTCCAGGTAAAAAATTTAATAATTTGTAATTAAAAAAACGAAACAAAGTGCGTATGTTCCAGAATGCACGTGGCTTGTTGGTAACTTTTTGTTCAATAGACTCATACGTTCCTTTTTGTTTTGGCAGTTGTATGTCTTAGGAGATGAAGATGATCTAATTTTGATGTCTTATCTCTTCCTAGAAAGTTGTTTTAACCATGTTATCCATAATGAATAAGCCACTACTCCCTCGAGGCGGCGTAAACTCAGACCCGTCTAGAAAATTTGGAGACTTCCGAGTCTAATATTCCTCGAGAACTAATTTAATCTAAATTGATTTACGGAATTTTCACAAGAAGATGATATTTAATAGCAAGCTTGAGTTCATTTCGTAGTTTATTAATGCATTGATACTTTCAGCCAGATAGATATGGCGCGTCTCTTCCTAAACCCAGCACCAACAAAACAGAAAAATTATAAAAAATGTCAAGATATAGGAAATTGAATAATTTATTGCCATCTTAAAATGCTGCAATCACAAACCATGAACGATTTCTAACTATAATTTTGATCGGGTTATGAGGATAAAACACGCCAAACTGTGATTAATGTGGAAGGGTAGTCGATTATAACATCGCCAGCCAAGCTAGTCTGTCCTGATAGTGATCAGTACCCGGGTAAGGTCACTACAGGCTTCGTCGAGCTGTTTTTTAGATTTGCGTAATAGTCAATGTATTTGCGTAATAGTCAATGTATCAATCAACTCCAAGCTAAGCGTAGTATATTTGCTAATTGAGACTGCAACAAGTATCAATGAACTTATAAAGTAAGAACGTGAAAAAGTATTGCGTAGTAGAGTTGAGACAGGCGAAGGCGTAGTTAGAAATAACATTCCGATAAGAGTTCAAGTGATGCTCCGATCTAGTAATTAATTGCATTGTTTGATAACGTTTGCGTCTCACTTTTCTGTAAAAGTAATATTCAGTAGTCTTAGAGGGAGACGGAGATGGGGTAAGAATATTGCAATAATTTTATTCGAAACTAGAATAAGACCAATTGATGCTTTATATACATCAGGGGGCAGGTACGGGTGTTATGGGCATTGGTATATTGTTAAAAGGCAATGGAAGCACTTGAGCGTGTCTCACTTCGATTACGACATGGTATCAACTGTATGCTGACGTTTGATGGACAGCTTGGCACTTAATCTAATATTAACACCCAGGTATTAACACTGTCATAAGGTCACACGTTCAAACCTAAATACAAGTTGGAAAGTGTGACCTATAAATTCGTTCTACAATTGTACAAATCAGCTTAGGATTCAATCTACTAAAACACTTAAATTATCCTTAAAGAAATTGTTAAATATAGTCTTGTTGATGAAAAATCGATACTTTTGGCGACAAGAGTCTCTGGTATTTCTCACTAAGAAGATTTTTGACATGTGTCAGAATTTTCAATCCATAGTGGACTCAAAAATTGACAGATCTTCTTTTATAAAAGTCATCTCTATTCTGGAATGCTGTTCTGAACTGATTAAAACTGTAAAATAATCGACAAATATGTCATAAGGACTTTTAACCTCTCTCAGAGGATACACACTGTCACAAGCTAAATGCATTTTTTATTTCTACAATGAACGGTTTCAAACTTATCTAAAATACTAGATATTGATATTGTTGATTGCTAAATCCTTCGTAGTTGGTGTGTATCTGTAGTATGTTTCAAATCTTTACTTAGTTCTCTGCAAATGTTACTAAAATATACCGTTCTTTGAATAATATTAAATGGAATGTCAAAATGATTAGTATAAGTACTATTAAAGTCAAACATTTAAAATAGCCACAGCTTATTGAGGGGCGGACCCTTGGATGGAGCTGTTATATTGCGTATTTTTGTAAAATGTTAATTTCAGACAAAATTAGATCTAAGCTATCAACATGTTAGAAATGTAAAATATTTGCCCATTTTATTTTTGTTTGTTACGAATTTCCCTGTTCCGCAGTTTAACAAGGAAACCATAGTGAACTTTAAGCATGGGACTGTAGGATAGGATACCAAGTGAAATTAAATGGTATCGAATTGTTTTAACACTCAATTTCACGACTGAAACGTTTTGGATGTAATGTAATCTTATTTTCATATTCAATAAGTCAATGAAACTATTTTAAAAATATGAACATAAAGAGATCTAAGTGATTGTTTAAGGAAAACTGTTTAAGGAAAATAAAGCCGTCACCATTATATTCATTGCAAAGTCCAGTTATGTATGAGGACTAGTCGTCTGTCGTGAGAGGCTGCGAAGCGCGTGAGACGCATTCCGCGTGTGGTCGGTTTTTGGAGATTCAAAAATAACAATTTGTAAAATGGCTTCATAATTGGTAGTTTTTATTGATGACAATTGAGAGGTGGCAATGATTATAAACCAATTATACGCTACGGAAATTTAGGGGTTTCAATATTGTGGCCAGTTAACAATAGCTAGCCACTTACAATTAGCTTTGAGGCGTTCGTTGAATCACCGCATATTGTCGAAATTATCATCTAATGACTTGTGGGAGGGATGAAAGAGAAAAGGTGTTAGATGAACAATCGGGTATAAACATTTCAGGAAGTTTTGCGTTAAAAAGACATTATGACAGTCATAAAAGCATAAAGAAAATTCATTCAGATTTATATGCATGTAAAATAAACCGGAAGACATTTCCGTTTTGAAACGTGACTCCGAATAAAAGTTGATAAGTTCTTCCCAATTTCCCATATTTCTTTCAGGTTTTAATTTAATAGATACTTCATAGTATTTCTTTCAGTCCACGTCAAATTAAGCGCAACTTTCAACATGATATTTGCCTCGTGCGCTTATTGTTTTAATATCAATTTACTTTGGGATTCTATATCTCTGTCAATAAGTGAAGGTGTTATGTTTATAATGACTCAATTAAGCCGTTGTAAATGAGCCTTTTACATCCGACGTTCTAACCTCATATAACATTATTAACATATACAAATATAGGAACGGCAATTCAGCATTTTAAATGCCAATCACTACATTAAACTGCAAAACTACACAAAATATGATATTACACAACGACGGGCGTAATTTAGAGACCCACCAGTTGATGTCATTTCCAATAAAAGGCTATATTACACACCACCATATTCTTTCCAATAAAACAATTTTCATTGGGTCTATTAGCAATCATTTAAAAACCGTGTGATATTTCAAATATCAGCTAGTCACGTGACGTGATCGAGACACCATGGTCCTCTGTATACATTTCGATGATACTAAATGAATTTAAAATCATTAAATTAATCAAGGCTGGGATTCAGTTTTGTATCATTCTAAATGGTAAATTAGGTCTCAAAGTCTTAACCATATTTCCACATATTCAATGTTTACAGGTTGCAAACTTGGTCCCGTCTTCCACGAACTAGGAGAGACATGGCATCCAACATTGGAACCACAAGGGGAGATGTTTTGTGTTCTCTGCAAATGTATGCCGGTGAGTTAATTTGATTGTATTTGTAAAAAATTCGTACGTTTCCGGCAAGATTGTCTATTTTATCCCTGAAAAATTGGAAAAATTCGTACCCTCTTTGATCGAAATGGCCACGGGCATGCATGAGGTAAACCTCTCTGTGACGACCCATTATCCCGCCCATTATCCACCTCTGTGTCATATTTTTGACAGAATCGATACAGACAGACACTTCCATTGCTTTGAATAAATAATATGTTGAAACGAAATGTAACTTGTGTAATGCTGTGAGTACCTCAAGCTATAATAATACCTCTTTAAGCTCAACATATTATAACAACTTTTATTTATCTAAATAATATCTAAATGCAATTGAGTTATTTATCGATCATGCTCCGACTTTCTTTTACCCATTCAATAGTTTGATTTCTCTTCTTTAAGAGAGTAATTACTTCTAGCCTAAGGGCTTTAGGCCAACTTTCTTTTTTATCAGTTAGTCTTTAGCACTTAATGACTTGTGACTATTAAGTCGATGGGATCTTTACCAACACATCACTTGACTCAGTCTCCTTGAAAACATCTTGATACCTGTGTGTTAATTTGAGTATTTATATTCGTCTATATCAAAAAGAGAAACTTCCAAATCAGGAACTTCACCATGGTAACCTGTTGATGATGAATATATGTGAATTTATTACAAATTAATTGTCAAAATGCAGACGACAGTCTGAGTTTATTTACTCAATTTAATGCCTTATGATTAAATGTTCACACCACATTTTTGTTCAAAATCTAAATAGCTGTCATTTATATCGACCTACTTGAAGATAGGCCTAGAGTCCAAATTGAGACTTTTGCTGAAGCAGCCAAAATTATTGTTCACCAACTGTGTTGATTAGGCGCCTTGAAATAAAGGAACACTGTTTTCAAAGAGTCTGGAATGTGTGAGATTTAAAAAACATATCCGTAGTTTGGTCTTTAATATTAGAAGTGGGGTTAAAGTTGAGGGGATTACCTGTGTGAACAGACTTTAAAGTGGGATTGCTTTCAAAACATACAGGTATTAATGTGTACATACCTTTTGATACATCTAAACATCCCAAACAAACAAGTTTGTGTATTTTAGCGCCATTTACAGCTCAGAGGCAATACGATGACAAAGAGTAAATGAAACACGAGAAGCTCGACTGCATGCCGGGCATAGTTTAGAAGTATTTAACTAAAATCAACTTTAATCTCACACAAAATGGTGTCAAAAAACTATAAATAAACAAACGTCAATTTAGATTCTCTATCATGCACATTCAGTCTGATAGAATTTCATAATTGGCATCGACGTCACCGGTCACATGTAATATTTATTTTGAACAATTTGAGCTGATCATGATGTGTTAATAACAACTATATATTTGCCAGAAACAAACATCTTCCAATGATTTAATGAAGTCATACCTTATCAGCATCAATAAAATGAGATAATGACATAATTTTGTAATTGGTCGACATGCCTCAATTCTGCTTGATAGTCTAATAACTGAATTCAGCGCTGCGTGAAATGGAATTCTTGCGACGTAAATGATGTGTACATATCCCTTCCAAAGACCCACTACTTTAGAACAAAATAACACTTCGCATCAAACAATGCTTGGATGTTTACGGTTTAGATGTTATATTTGGTAACGACGAGCGTGTGGTATTTGGTGTACTTTTAAAAATCTTCCAGTTTAATTTTGGTTTAATACTTGAATTTGTTCTTATTTCTTATCCACTATTCATAAGAGAAATTTGTGTTTGGAGCATGCAAGTGAATAGCTGGTTGCACCGTGGAATTAACATTGCCATACTGACATCTTAATAATGGCCTTTAACCAGCATGTTTTTGTGTGTTTGTTTTGATTTTGCTGTTCAATGTCCATTTAAAGCTGCGTCAACTGTACCCACTCCCCGAACTAACAAAATTAATTATTGCTTCAGAACCCATTGGGTACATATTTGTACATTCAAAAGTAAAACATGGTCTTCTTTTTAGGTCGAGAAGAAAAATATTTTACAACGCAAGGGAAAGGTGATATGCAAAAATATAAAGGACGAATGCTCAGTACCCAAGTGTGACACTCCAGAGCTATTGCCGGGACAGTGCTGCAAAACCTGCCCCCAGAAAGGTACGATTGTAGTCAGTCTTAAGCAAAGTCACTAGAACTTTGCCAATTATCTATAGTAGTGTAGATAATTGGAATAACTATGGCTTTGGATCAACTCCATACAAGGGAACTTCCGTTTGTCAAACATTTTTAGGGGAATATACCCATATCTTGCCCTTTGTTCATTCTTAATTTCTTATTCTAACTTTCGTGTTTTATTACTTTTACTATTTTATTAGTATGTCAAAATGAAGAAAAAGATGTTGGCTCCAGCCTAGTTGTAAATGGTCCGGAATGACTTGCCATCTTACTTCAATGAATATTTATTCAGTTTCCATGCATTGGATAACTTATTTATTGATCATGGTTCAGTTCAGTTTGAAGTTTTGATGGCATATCAAAGAGTTTAGAACATTATCGAAAGATGTCACCTCATCACTTTCAGGATTTTCGGAAGAAACCACGAGTGTATCTGTCGATGGCGTATATGACTATACGACCGAGGTGAACGACGGGAAGGAAATGCTACATGATTACCATAGAACCGAGTACATGGCACTTCTGTTGGGCAAAACTATGAAGTCGCCCACAAGGACTAAAGGGTCAGCCCGAGGAGCGTTTACGCTCTTCAAAAGTAATTTACACTTTACATTCTACGCCAATGTTAACAAAATAACCCGGATAGAATTTGTTGACTTCAACGACAATGTCCTGTACGAGCATGTGGTCAAACCAACTAAGGAAAAAGATAATAAGGTAAGCAAACGTCAATCGTGTTTACAAAATAAAATTGATATTCATGTGTGCTTTTGATTATATTTTGAGATATTTGGGTTTGTTTTATTCATGCTTGGTTTCAAAGCTACTCGATCAGCTCTTGATGTATTTCGTTATAATACTCTGCCCTTTTGGCACTTGAACTTTCAGATGCTTTTCATGATGTCAAGGTCACTACGTTCCAAAATAATCAGGGAACTAAATTCTCCTTTCTTGTAAACTTGTGTTTTATTGTAGATCTGTGGAGTTTGGAATAATTTGCCAACTATATATCAGCGGTTCTTGAATAATCAACGCATGCGCGTGAGAATTGTTACGAAAAAACATGAAGCTGGTGAACTTGGAGGCGAAATAATAAAACACAGAGCTCTGGAAGATGGTATGTCTATAAATTATATGTATATGTTTTATATCATATATATCCAGCCTAAGGTAGTACAGTATTCGCAAATGCAAATAACGGCTGTCGGCTACCAAATTAACATTCTTTTTATGGCAAACTCAAATGGATTAGTCGCAGGTACTATTCATATTTAAATGAGTTGGGTCATAAAATAGTAGGTTAATCCAATAGCCGACAGCCGCAAGTTGCATTGCGTTTAAGGTAAGATAGTATACCATTTTAGTTAAAATCAATCCAATAATTTATTTGATTTCAACGACGTTATCTTTCTGCTATTTGATTTCAGAGACGTTAAGCGCCGTGTTGTCCTCAGATGTGGGTGACGGAAGTGGTGCGTTGGTCATGATGACTGTTGGAGGAGATGGAAGTCTCAGTTTTATTGTAAGACACAACGGACTGTTGGATAAAGAAGCAGGTAAAACAAATAAAGCACCTTCTTCAAAAAATAGTTGTCATCATGTTTAATTCATTTCAATGCAATTTACAAATCATGAAAAATACATGTGATTAGTAATTATTGTTTGGATACAATATTTCTTTGAGTATTCTTTTTGTATTTTACAGATGCAAAAACCATAGTTTCAGTATACTTTATGAAGAATTCGGAGGTTTTACAGAGGATAAATGTTATCGTATCAAGACATGTAAGTATTGCACACATACATATATTTATAATGTTAAATGCTATTTTCTGTGTACTTGGATCATTATCTGCTTCTTCCTTCAAATGTTACCCTTTCATTTTGAATTAGACTCAACCATCGTATTTTATCCTACTGAAATATTATGTCAATACAATAATAAATAAAATCTAAAAAATAAAATAAATTATCTTTATTTCTGCATTTAGGATGCTGAGTTCGCCGAGCTTTGGTCGAAGCTACAGAAACAAGAATTCAAGCAATTGGCGAGAGGGAAGATAACAATTCTCATTAGAACTGAATCTGGCAAACAAATGAAAGGAAAGATAACACCTAAAATTACATGCAATGGTAAATATTCAATTATGACTTATTGCACATGTTTCAGATTTATTTAAGAAATATAGACCGAAGAGCAGGGGTAATATTGTCGAATACACTCCCTTCGGTCGTTTGGGGTACAGAAAACGTTTGTGCCTAGCCCTGCAGGGTGTATTCGACAATATTACACCTGCTCTGAGGTCTATATTACAATTCGAACATGAAAACTCACCAAAATGTTTCGAATATTCATTATGGTTCGCCATTACTACTGCCCGCCGTTATGACGTCACACATTACACGTATTACCAGGGGGTTTGTTCGCGAATATACCCCGGGTGAAATGTTGACTTTGTTTACAGTTTATAGAAGGCGTGAATACAGTCATGTTCGAATCAGATTTATTGCACTTGTTACATTCTGATACTCATAGCATCTTTCTGTTTCACCTGAAACATCTCAGGGCTGATAGGAGTGAGATGTCATGGTATATCATGATGCACTTGTTACTGCTATACGATACACTGCAGATGTATCAGCTGTGTATGGTATATTGCACACGTGTCAGCTTTGTGACATGTACGTTCTACATATTTCAGCTCTTCAAGCTGTTCTATCCGGGTATGATGCTCTGCAACAAACAGAAACTGGAGCAGGTGGATCTGCTATCTTTATACTCAAGAGCAATGGATATATCACTTACCAGGTATGTATGGAAATGAAAGAATGATTATATCACATTTATCTATCCAACTGACCCTATTCCCTATTATGTATTTCGACGATACCATTCAAACGTGGATGATAAGGTAACACAATTACAACAAAATTGAAGCTGATTTATAATCAACAAACGAACGTTATGATTGTCTCCACAAAGCTAACAATGTGCTGTACCTGTTTTGTTAGATCAAAGTGGAGGGCTTGAAGAGTAAGTTAACAGAGCTTTCAATCGAGGGTGCACCGAACAAACGTGACAGAAGACGAAGAGTTGCCAAATTAACCAAGAAATTCAAACAACATTCGAAAACAGATTATGGTGGTATGGTAAGTGAACTCTATTATATAGACTCTATATGATTTAAATATATAATACAACTTGTTAATGTCCGCCAATCATTCATAGGGTGATTCAACAGCATTGTATAAAACAGAGACATATGTGACTCTGTATAAAATGTAAACCATTATTGTTTGTGTTCTTGTTTCGCTGATATCTGATCACTCTATGTATTTTATGACACCTAAAGACAGAACGAGGAGAACAGAAATGTGATATAATGTCATAGTTTGTGATAATTGGGGTTTGTTTTCCTTATGACCAGTGTACTCTAGATGTTTTCCTTTTCTTGCTGTGTTCTGCAATACTTTTTGTCCTTTCCTCTTTGGCACTTGCGCATATATATTTAATTTCAGGCTAGAGGAATACTGAAGAAGTTAAATGGTCGACAGATCCACCTCCTTCTTACAAATGGTCTATTTGTAAACATCAAGACGTCCAAACACAAAGTCAGTGAGTTAAGGGGTCAGATAACTCAAACACTCTTTGATGACAAAATCTCAATGGATATAGGTGAGAAATTTTATCATTAATCATATCAGAGACAGATATCGCAAGAAATCATAAAAAATAGATTTATTATTTTTGTTTCTACATAAATCCTGACACTTCGATTCTTTATTTTTTAGTAGACCCTGTTATACTGAATGGAGCTTCATTGGATCCCAAAGTGCCAACCCCTGCTGCGGGGCATGCTTGGGTAACCATTGACTCCCGCTGTAACCTACGCTATAGTGTCATTGTGCAGGGCTTGAGCCACGAGAAACTGAGTCCCCATCTGCATGGAATTGTTGAGATTGGTGCCACCACTGGTGATATACTTCCTACTCAACTAAAGGGATTTGTTGGAAATATGGTAATTTGGAATCATTATTTTAAATATTTTGCATTAGGAACAGATTAAGATTCAAATACAAGCCTGATAAATAATTAATATGATTTTTAGTTTTGAGGATCAACTATGCAATGGTTTGGCATTGGATGAATATTTTTTTGTTTTAGGCACAGGGGTACGTGAATGATTTATCAACCTCTATGATGAGGACACTAGATGGTCATAATGCATTCATCCAAGTGAAGACAAATGCCTATCTTGGTGGAGAACTAAGGGCTAAGGTAAATGTTAGTTTATGAATCAATTTTTGGATAATGGAGATTTTTCATTTGCTTCACTTTTTGTGTTTTTTACTCTTTTGCTAACATATTTATCGAACTTTTGTAATTATTTTGATAATGGACTACTATGGATATATACAAAACGTGGCACACATCTATTCAAGGATATACATGTTTGGACTTGAGTCGCAATCTCATTTGGACCTGTTCAAGCATATTATCATTATCACTATACTTTCTCTTCAGATTCACATCCCAAATGACTGTGAAGGAGTCAGTGATCGTGAAATCATGAATGATAAACATGAGAATGCAATCCTGCCATCTTTAGATGTGTCGGGGAAGTATGGTTGTAATGATGGGGACAGCTGGCTACCCGACGAGTCAGACCCATGCACGACATGCAGCTGCAAGGTATAGTGTTAACTTAAAATATTATTATCATGGCATGGGATTCATGAAATTAGAATATCACCAAACAACATTGAACTGATTTTATCTTAAAAATTTAATTTACAACCAGATTTTTCTTGCTACTGGAGCAATTTTAAGTATCCATACGTACAGCTTATTCAAATTTAAGTTAATTTTATATTTCAGAGAGGCAAGATGAAATGCCATCAAGCTATCTGTCCCAAGATGGACTGTGAAGATCCTATTACTATAGAAGGAGAGTGTTGTCCACAGTGTATAGGTAATTTTATATGTGAAATTAAAATGAAATATAACATAAAAATAATATTATATTTTATCTTGATTATAAAATATAATATTAAAATAAAATATTAAAAAATTGCCATTCGTTGTGGCACCATGCATCAGTCTCATCTGTTTTACAACGATGAATTCAGTACTGATATATATTCATTTGAGACTTCTTTCTACTATTTCAATACGATATCTTCCATTCTCTTTTTGATTGTATCTGTGATATGAAAATTAAATAAGTTTGCCATGCTTTGTGGTACCACGCATCAGTCTTATCTATGTTTACAACTATGAATTCAGTACTGATAAATATTCATTAAACACTTATTTCCCCTTATTTTACCATATCCTATATCCTACATATTCTTCTTTGACTCCTATCTCTTGTCTCTCAACAGTTCTGATTTCATAGGGACTAGTGACACATGTATAACAAGGAGTTACTGTAATATCAACACTACATACCCTGTATATGTATTACTTAATATCTGATTTTTTAAAACATTTTTTTTATTTCAGAGCAAAGTAGCTTGAGTTCTGAAACCTGTTATTTTAATGGTGACCAGAGGAGACACCGAGTTGGAACAATATGGCACCCTTATGTCCCACCATTTGGCTATGTGAAATGTGCCCTGTGCTCATGTGTGGTAAGAAGATTTACTTATATAGCAAGATCATCGAAGACTCTCAAGCGTGAAATACATGAAACATTTAAGATCAAAATGTATATAAGTGGAACAATATCAAATTGATAAGCGTCATGACCGTCAATATGAAATTAAATTCAGGAATATGAGGGATTATACATTTCAAACCCTATTAATACAATTCATTTGAAACTTTTATCAGTGTTTTAGACAGTTTTATGGAAATGGAGGTCAACGGTTTAATTATCATGGACCTACAGAAAATCCATGGTTTGATTTATTGCAGTGCACCTTTGTTGGGCGATATTTAGGTCTATATGTGTATGTTATTTGATACAACATAAATTATTGATATATTGATTGGTAATAAATTATAAGAATTATTATAATATGTTAAACAATTTAAATGAGGGTTATTACCCATTTAGCATTCGTGACGTGAATTCAGCTGACGACTGGCGGTACTTAATTTACTTTTTATGGCCTACTTATTTTTTCAATATTATTGGATTATTGAAATGTAAAAATGTAAAAGTACATCTAAAAATATGGTTTTGAAAATTGGTTATCAACTTTGAATTTTTTTTTGAAAATGTGACTTCTAGTTCGGGGAAATTCCCCATAGACCCCATGTTATAAAATCACAAAAAGTGAAATATCTTTTCTTGTATTGGACAAATGATATTTTGTTTTACTGGACTTTTAATTTGCATAACCATTAGAGAAAAGGGAACATTCTACTATACTCACCATACTATCTGACCCGAATGAGCCACCTGGTAGTGAAACTGGTAACTACTTACTCGTATCTGAGTTATAAAGGAGTTGGCCTTAAATCAGTAGGTAAATCCGCCGCCAGCCTGCAGTTGAATTCGCCAGTGCTTTCTTAGTTCTTGAATTGACACACGAAAACCTTCTTACATCTTGGCCTCATCACATTCAGGACAATTCTATATATGCAATAACATAAACTATTAAATTACAATGATTTTAATATTACTAAACATGAACTTTCTCTCCAGCCGGGCGCCGATGAGGTGAATTGTACCCAGAATTCTTGTCCCCCTCTCAACTGTCCTGATTCCGAGGCGATCCGTTTGAATGAGTCTGATTGCTGTAAGATATGCCCAGGTAACTACCACAAAATATATATATTGTATTTTTAAACTGTTTATCTAACTATCCAATGCAATTATTAGCACAGGAGTCAACATCTGAAAAATATAAATCTAAAGAAATATGCAGCATGAGATGTAGGGATAAGCAATACAATGTAGATTTCCTATATCGATTTTGAGAATTCATGGCCGGTGTAGGGGAAATGTGACTGAGGCTTAGTGGCAATCTTTCCATGCAAAATTCCTTTAAAGACACTGTAGAAAGTTTAAACCACTATGGGTTATATGTTCTGATCATTGATTGACATATCTCTAATACATGTGATACAATTTTTAGCCAAGCCACCAAACTCTGTTGTTGCCGACACAATTGATGTATTCCGCAACGACTACAGAGCCGATGATGCCGCCAAGGCACAGATTGAATCGGAGGATTCAAACCCCGGTAGTAAGTGTATTCAGAAGTCTTAACGGTCAACAATTACACACTAAAATCCTTAATAAATCAAATCAAATGATAAGACCAGATCTAAAACTAGCAGCTCAATAAGAAAAGAATTTAAAAATCGTGCAAATATTATCTTAACACATCGTTTACACTGAAATAGTGTTTATAGTACATTATATCACACATATCATACATGTATGCTATGCTTGTGCCTAAAAGTGAAATTCTGTAAACTGTTCACAGGTTGCAAATGGAAGGGAGATTTATACAATAATGGTGACTCCTGGCATCCAAACGTATCTTCAGTTGGCAGGATAAAATGCATCACGTGTACCTGCAAAGTAAGTTATCGGGAAACACAAAAATGGCGAATGCCATAAAATTATCAACCGGCTTGATGTTGATTTATTTTTTATTTTGGTTTACTTGAAAGCACATGTTACAGATTGCTCTAATAAATAAACAGTTATTCTAAATACTGATAGGGTGATTGTTTTCTAAAATCATTTGTATCATTGATGGAATTTGATTGATTGATTCAACTGCTTGCTTGCTTGATTGTTTTAAGAGTGGTATATAGTTAACACAAAACACTTCACTTATATAGTAAAGGTTAAACAAATTATATAACGTACAGCTTATCTGACAATGTTTTTGCTTTTTTTCAGGACAGCGTAAGCCAATGCAAAAGAACAAATTGTCCAAAACTACGGAATTGTCGTAGAATTAAACGCAAGACAGATTCTTGTTGTCCCGTATGTGCAGGTAAAAAACTGTTCAAATATACCAGGATTTAATTTTGAGTATTGCTGTTGAATTTACTTATGAAACAAAAGTCCTTCATCAGGAGCACAAGAGAGCATTAAAATATTGCTTCATGATTAAAAACATAATTTTGGCAAAAGGGTCAATGTAAAAACTCAACATATTAACTAGATACTTTGCTATACAAGAAAACTTTGACTTTCAGACAATAAACGAGGAAAAGTGAAATCATCACGAACTGGAAAACGCACAAAAAGAAGAAGGAATAAGAACAAACAGTAGCCAAACAATCTATGTAGTAAAATTAGTATGGACTCTCTCAAAATCTTTCCTCAAATTTTACAAAAACAAGTGTCAAAATGATGTTTGAGGTTAGAGGATTTTTAACTTTCAGATGTTGAAACTATAACATGATAGATAATGGATGGTGCCCTTTCATATAATATATACACATATGACTATAGCCTTTGGAGGCGAAGCTTTATCAGTGAAGATGTGTGTCTGCCTAAATACTGAAAATTGTAAATATTGTAAATTGTACATGTTGTAAATTTTACATGTTGTATATTGTACATGTTGTAAAGATGATGACTGATGACAAATATGCTTGTTGAAACACTGTGTAGACAAGTAGTTCTATAGATCTGATATGTATAAATATGGAAATAAATGAATTCTAATCGTTTAAATTATTTAAAAATCGTTTCTGTTTGAAATTAACATATGACCAAATCGTCATATTGACTTAATTATGAAAACTTTTATTAATACTTTCTATTTATTCTCTTGGCATCTCTTAGTAAGTGTAAGTAGGGTTTACAAAAATCGTTTTAACTCATACCGTGACAATAGTTTTATGCAGTCATACTAAGAACAATAGTCGTAATTCCGTGAATAAGTAGTTATGTATTATTTCTTTCAGGGGAGGGGGGGGGGGTGGGGGTGGAAAAAGGAATAACAAGAATTGATATGAGATAAAACTTTGATAGCTAATATTGCTTCCTCACAATTGAAGTTCTTATACTAAGCCTACCTAAATGGTCTACGACGGGGAGAGGCAAACTTTCGTTACAATCAGATACACAAAATAGGCCAATAACGAGGAAAGGATAAGACAAAATCCAATTATATCCAAAAGAAAGTATTGTGCAAAACTTAGGTTGTCCAATCCCTGGGATCTAAGATGTTTTGCCCCATGTTTCATGACATATTCACTCCAGTATCTAATAGTGTGTGATGCATTCACCGGTGTATCTTTAATCAACTTCATTGTAAGCGCAGCATTGTGTGCGTACTCTGGTGTTCCGATCACCTTGTTGATGGCCCACGTTATGGATGTAACACTGATGTTGGTTTTGGATATCGTAATGCCCATGTTGTGTCGTTCCGTAAGTAATCGACAATGCTGGTACTGATCGTAAAAGAAAGGGATGCCAATCGTAGGTACTGCGTTATAGACTGCTTCAGCCGAACCAGAAACTCCACAATGTGTGATAAATAGTTTTATTTTTGGATGACAAAGGAGGTCATATTGAGGCAACCAGGGCAATGTCAATGTATTATCTCCTAGATTATCTGGTTTAGGGCCGCCGTATCTCCATACTACTCTCTGCCGTAATTGTGAAAAAACCGTTGCAAAGATCTCTCTCAGTCTTGGCACTAAGCCCCTTGGCAAGGACCCGAATGATAAAACGATAAAGCCTGCATCGCCAGAGCCCTCGATGAACTTTTCAAGCGTCACATCTAATTTGTTGCATTTCTTTTCCTTCAATCCTAACACTGGGATAACGTTTGGCATCAGTGGTCTTGGGTAAAAGTATGCAAAGCTTGTCTGCACGAACAAAATGTCTGCATTTCTGAACGAGTCCCTAGAATTAGGCACCAGTCCCAGTGCTGGTCCATACTTAGTCATAAGTTCGAGTTTTCTCTCGGAAAAAACTGGTTTATGGTACTCTATGCCAACGTACAAGATCACATTCCAGAATCGCTCCCATATAGTCATTGAGTCTCCATATGGTGAATATAAAACTGGTACATGTGACAAAAAGTTCGGAGTTAACCAGTCGTAGTTTATCTCAAATCCAGCATTGGCCCATAGTATGGTAGGCGTTTGTAAATAGTCCATAAGAATGCCCCCGCACACAAAATGAAACATATCCGTAATAAGGAGATCAAATTTTGCAGATTTTAAACGTCTCATCAGTTTTAGGTCTTCCAACAATTTCGGACATACCTTTGATGTGTAGGAATCAAGTACCTGTCCCTTCCCCATCCATTGATCCATCTGTGTTAACACCGGGGTAACGAGACTTTCTTGAATTACGCCTTCTTCTACAGAATACTGTAAATCGTCTGGGTATTTATGTCTTATAATGTTTACACCTTGTAGCCTCACATTTACCGTTGGGTCATACTCGGTGTGAACCAGAAGACTGATGTTATGTCCTGCTTGAGCCAATATCTCTGATATTGTTTCCATAGCACTCACCCTGGAGTTTCTCAGAGACGCCATTTGGTAGATCAATACGTTCTTTGATCTTATTCCACAACTCATACTTAAGATCACACACATTAAGACTGGCCATCTATGCCTTGAGTCAGTCATTTTGAAACGCCTATCTAAGCCGTGTACAGATTTGATGCACATATACTTAGCAAGACAGTTTATTTTTGTCATGATTTATCTCAAAATTGATAATGGGCATGTTGACCCAGCCTCTTTGTTAGAATCACAGGCTGGTATCGAAAATTTTGTCCGCTGTTACGGAGCGTGATATTTTACATAGAAAAACTAGGAAATCCACACAATTTATTTTTGCACTTTGAAATGATATATGACACACAATATGGTGAAATGGGTATATGTTTGCCTAGGGAGGGTGGATGGGGGGGGGGGGTCGCATACTTTCGGGACACTCTGTACAGCTGTACAATTAGCCATTACGCAGCCTTAAACTAGTCATTATGTTACCTGCCCTTTGTTTTAAATGGAGCCCTGTTTTAAATTGGAGCCCTGAAGCACTCCACATATGGTCATGCTCAAACAGGAATGTTCACGAAGATGTACGAAGTCACTTATTTAATGAGAAAACTTTATAATCAATCAACTTTACCTCGACATGCAGACTTTTATTTTGAAAGTAGAAGATCAAGGGGGATCTTTCCAAGCTTATGTCAAAATATTATAAGTTGTTGAATGGTTTGAAGTGCAATACAGGATATATTGTGCTCGAGAAATTATGTACCGGCACGAGACGAAGGCGAAGTAATGCAATTGATATTGTCCCCTCCGTATCAATATTTTCCTATTGCTACGGAGATGATCAATGGGGAAAATTTCAATAGCAATATGGTACAGCACAAGAAATGACCAATCAGAGGGCTTCAGAGGGCTTCATTTTGCAGATCATACGATAAATTCTTATAATGTTATTTCTGTTTATAAATTGGGCCTTATTCCGTGGTTTACAAATAACAATATCAATACCTTTCACATAATCTCATTAATTGCACGTTTATTGTTTTAACAAAAACATCAATCAATGTATATAAGTTTCAAAAGACCGACTGCTATTTGCGGTTTGTGCCAAACGTCTTTCATAAAAAGCGAACAGATGGATGTGCTTTGAAGGTAAAATAAAATATTATCAGAAAAACACAAAACAAAATGCACGTGTTTAAAATATTGACTTGAAACAGATATGTACCTTTGACTTACACTGTAGAACTAAAATTAATTCATTATTTAAATCGATGCCGGACAGATCATTGGTAGAGATAAGGGTAACATTCGCTACTGACGTTTCATTCACACAGGATACCTAGTATATTTAACAATGGGTTAATGTAGAGAAATGGATTATGATATTTAGCCTTATATAGTTCAAACAGTTTAATCTAAACAAAATCTGTATTTGTCCTATATGAATTACAGGAGTACATGGAAACATTTAATAAGGATCACCGACAAATCAACGTATTTTTGATAGTTCAATATCTATTAAACCAAAGGAAGCATTAGTAAAATGATCAAATGTCTAGGCAGGTCTCCCAAGAGGCCGTACATCTGTGTGATTTCTGTTATAATTCTAATAATTGTCATGAAACTTTTTCGTGATTGGATATATAAGCCAGCAAGTAAGTAAACCATTTGAGTGATCCGAAAACCATAGTATCATATGAACCCAAGGTAGGCCAATGGTACACGTGGTATAATAGATATAATGAAAAGTAGAATCCGAAAATCCATTGTCAGAAATTTATTAATTCACATATCGTGTATCTGATATGTATATGTTTCTTTTTTTGCAAGTGAAAAGAGAAGTACATGTACGAGTATGTTATATATCGTTTTATTCGGTATTGGCATCTGTTACAATTGTTGCAATTTTGTAATTTGCAATTACTTAAGACATAATGTTCAGATTAACAACTTTTTTTTACTGTGAATGACTGTGTCTTTTCTTATTTTGTCACCACCGCGAGGGGTGTTCGACATTCACCGGTTGACGCAAGGCGTTTTGCGTTTGACCGTCAACGTCTGTAACAAATGGCATGTTGTTACAAAAAATGGGTAACAAACTATGAAGAAGAGAAAATAATAGAAAAAATAATAGATTTGATTAGTTTACATGTTAAGCACAGAGAGACATTTTATTTGAAACTGATTTTAAAATCAATTCAAAGGTTATGGACCCTGTTCAGATTGGTTACACCGATTGGGAAATCGATGAAACCTGGGATCAAACATATTTGATAAACAGGTTGTATGTCAAACAGTTTTCACAAACAATCCTGTCTACATTTATTTTTCCAAATGGGCAAAATTGTCAGAAAGTTGGCAAAATGGTCACCAATTGGGCGACAGTGGTCAACGAGTGGGAAAAATGAAATACCATGAAATGAAGAAAAATACTATTGTTATTAATACTACCCTTTTGAGTGTTTTATTTAATTCTTTACAGTAAAACCTTTTTAAAGGTAATTTTAACACGTTTTTATTCTGGTACTTCTTAGACGTAGGAATATGTTTTTAATCTACATATCACTTCATCTACATATAACTTTCCATAATATACTATATACTTATTTTGAGAGTGCCACTGTTAAAATATATCTGAATAAATAAATGTTTAATACTAAATATCAGCTTATTCCATTTCAGGTTTTCACTACAATATCAGATCCTACAAACAGATGAAGTTGTCTTTTATATTGATGACCCGTAACGACAATTATAGGGGGACAACGATGGAGCGTCTGGCCACAACCCTGCGCGAGGTCTGCACAGGCATGGAACGGAATGGCCTCAGCGACGTCTCCGAAGTGGTAATAACAGATTGGAACTCGAAATCCCCGGTGTATCAAATAGACTGGTTACAACCGGTGTATTACCATCACCCGAGTTGCAAAATATATTGGGTGAAAGTCTCCCCTGAGATAGCAGCAAAACAAGCAGAATCGCCCCTCTCTGAGGTACACGCTCTTAACGTAGCAGCGAGGTTTGCACATGGAGAAATGATACTCAGAATAGATCAAGATACACTCGTAGGACCAGCATTCTTTCATTGGTTGAAGATTCAACGACAACAAGGCTGGCCTGAGATCAACAAAGTCTGGTGGAGTGGGAGACGAGACACTGAGAGATTCGACTACGAGAAAATCGTCAAAGATCCCTATCGGTTCCTTGAGCAGTACGGGAAAGCCATCCCCTATTGGTTTGATAATTGGTTTCCCTACAGGGCGACTAAAGATTACTTCGGGGCTGCAATAGGAGTATTTGCCATCCCCAAGGACGCTTGGATGTGCTCCGGAGGGTATAATGAAGGGATGATCTATTTTGCTTATGTCGAATGGGGATTCTTCTGTCGTTTGCACAAATATGGCGTGCCCTTTATCAATACTAACTACTGGGGCGTTTCGGTCCATAGTCCATTCTATCATATATGGCATCCTAGGAATGATAACAAAAGGTTCAATCCAAGATTCATGTCATATAAAAATGAAAGAAACTGGGGGCTACTAGATGAAAATCTCCCCGTAGTTGGTTGCTATGGAGGAACATGCAATGATATAGGGACGTGGGATAAAGTTGGTTCCAGATTTATACCTTACAAACTGAATGGCTATAGTTGTTTCCATAACAAGACACATGTATTTAAAGGAGCACCTGAGTGTAACAAGGAAAAACTTCCATTTGTAAATAGATTCATAGTAATCTAAAATCTCATTAAACGCCCGTCTGCATCAGATGGTCTGCATTGTAAAATACCCCCCCCCCCCATCTATCTTACTAGTACTCTTGGAGATATGTTGACATTTTGTAATCTCTCTCAAATGTGGCAAACTTACATTTGAAAATATACTTAATGTTGAAATTGAATAAAGTTTCTGTCACATTAGCTCTACGGTGGCCGTATAGTGGCCGTAGCTTCACAAAACATTTTTGGTGAATTCACATCGTACTGCTTATCCCTATATTTTAAGCTGCATATTGCAAACATTCGAGTTCTACAACACTATCAGTTAATTCAGACTGAGGTGGTCAAAAAATGGAAACCCTACATTTTCCTTATATCGTTGTCACTTTAAAAATTACTCCTTGATATTTCACACATTTGTACATCGTTCAATTTCCTACCACCCTACCATATTTCATGACCATCAGACTGATAGTCACAATTTTACAGCACTTTGAATAACATGCTTCAGATTTGGCCATCCTCGCGATGTTGGCAAAACAGCACAGTTGTCAATGACCGAAAGCATTCCTCAGCAGGTATGGCCTGAATGACATGAATGATCTCACTTTTGAGGTTTGCAATTATCCAGAGGTCATTCTCATATACTCTCTCTCTCTGCTGTATGCCCACAGGTAGGGACATTTTAGACGATGAGTGCAGGTTTCCCGAAAGGGCAATAGTGGCCACTGGGCATGTTCTTTAAAGTACTGTAACATTGTGACTATTAAGCTGATGGTCATGTACAAAGATATAAGGAAATGGTATTAGGGTTTCCATTTTTCTGACCACCCTGTACATTAACAACATATTGGACATACAGTTGAGCATTCTTGGTAAAGCTAAGTTAAAGAGAGCTGGTGGCACCCTTATATCAATGATTTAGACTGTCAATTGTTGTCAATTTGTTGAGATGATGGGGCCAGGGATGGGGCGATGTAAGTACAGGACACAGAAAGCATTCGATGACTGATTATAAAAACATTGATTGATAAAACAGCATGAGTAATAAACCATGTGTGTCCCATTTTAAATTGTCGGAGCCTCTCACAAACATCATAAACCAATGGCAGTCTAAATCATTGATATTAAGGGTGCCACCCTGAAGCCCGGGTATACAGTAATTAATAAAAAGTCAGTCTTATTCTTATACATGTAAGTATTCTATAGTAAAAGATATACATGTATACGAGGGGTGATCAATAAGTAATGGACGCTTTTTTGCACAGATACTTTTTATGGACCAATACCTTCGACTTTCTTACCAGTGATACATCGTTCAATTATCTATTAACTCTGAAGATTTGAAAACAAGACATGTAATATATTTTGCTATATCTTTATTTCCGTGAAGGAGGTATAGGTACCCCGGGACCGACATTTACGTCAAACATTCTGAAGGTATTTTAGCTTGTTTAACATGCAACGCAGTTGAATGCAGGTTGACAAAACAAACCATTATGGTCATGAATTACCCCATTATGTTATGCCACAGTTGATTTTGAATATTTTATCATCACTTTGTGGTATATTCATGCCACATTCATTCTACAGGGCCCTCTACATAGGTTCCATCAAGTGCTACATGTACACAATTCCTAATCCTCTAACTCAAGATTGTGAGACAAGGCTGAATCCATTTTCTGACATGGTAGCAAGATGCAGTTGTACGGGTTGTTTTATTTCATCAATGTCAATAAACCTACGTCCCGTCTTTATAGAAATACTATAAGAATAAATAAGTCACATGTGAGCAGATCTGGACAATATGGTGCATTGGCCAAGGGCTCAGTTTTGAGGTCCAGGGATATCGTTTTCTGAACATTTTGAGATCTGTGGGCAGGTGCATTGTCCATATGGAGTAGGGTGTTCCTTTCTCCCACCAACTCATTCTTCCACAATGCTTCCTCAAATTCCTGCAAACCCCAACCATACAACACTCTGACATCACAATACTTACTGTTTGTGTGTTACCAGTCAGCAAAATATTTCAACTCACAACACTTGTTGCATGTAAAAGAAGTTCAAATCTAACTGAAAGCCAAACTGGCTAAAAACTGAAAATGTGACTAAAATGTCGCCCCTTCATGGAAATAAGGATATATCAACATGTATTATATATTTTGTCTTCAAATCTTAAGAATTGATAGATAATTGAATGATGTATCACTGGTAGGAAAATCAAAGAGATTGGTCCATAAAAAGTATCTGTGTAAAAAAGCGTCCATTACTTATTGATCACCCCTCGTACACCACGCATTACCAACTCAGTACACTAGGGGACTTTTTAAACATTTTTAACGTATTCTTGGGCCTCAGGTGCCACCAGCCCTCTTTAACTTAACTTTACCAAGAATGCTCTTAAACAGCATCAACGGAAGACATATGTTATATAGTTTAGTTTATATAGTTCATTATAGTATCACAGGTCAATGTGTCTGTATTGCACTTCAAATCATTCAATGACGTTTTTATCGTGTGATCCTCTATTGCTACTGAGATTGTCCCCTCCGTACCAATATTTTCTGTATTGCGACGGAGATGATCAACGGGGACAATCTCAGTAGCAATACAGATTGGCTCAGCACAAGAACTGACCAATCAAAGGGCTTCATTTTACAGATCATACGATAAATAAAATACAATACTAAAATACATTAATAAAAAACCTCTAGCCGATGCCGGCTTATGAGACACTTATATGAATACATAAATAGCATCAATATTACAATGTTATGACAAACGTTCCAGATTAAATGCCCTCTTTTGAAACATTTTATATAAATGCTATTTTCCTTTGACTAGATTTACACCATAAGTTTGGCAACCTTAGCTCCCTCATTGAACTACGTGTTAAAGCCTCTTTACTTTTCAATTTTTATATACTTAACCCGCGAAGAAAATACTTTTGATGGAAACGTAATTTGACTTTATTTCCAATACCTCCAAATTTTCTCAATTTTTTTCCTCAATTACAATCACGGGGTACCATCGAATAATTTTGGCAACGTACCGGAGAACGACATTTTACTAAGAAATGGCAATAATTTAGCACAATATATTTTTTAACTAGAGTTCTATTTTGATTTTGACAAAAGTAAGTATTCCATGCAATAACTATTTCATTCATGAGTTTGTAGGAATTCTGTTGGAACCCAGTTCTGATCAAGTACGAAGTTATTGAAATCGGCGCAGACGGACTTTACTCCGAAAGATGGTTTTTCGATTATAACTTTTTACAACATTTAAGTATAGACATTTGACAAAAGTGCAGAATAGTCCTTATACTTTTGAATAATTGTGTTATTTCTGATTCACACGACTCTGATTTGTTTAATTAAAAAAAAAGTTTTAAAAATATTACTTAGGAACGTTACCGGAGCTGGGAACGTAACCGGAGCAGATCAGTTGAATTATTTAATCAAAAAATTAAAATATATGATTTAAAGCACATATACTAATTTAAAAACATACGGGATTGTTCGAATGCGTATTTATTACATTTTATTTAAAGAAAAAAATTTATCCATTGTGAAAAATTAAATTTGGTATTTACCATGCATAAGTGCACTTACCTTAGAAAGGCAAACATAGAACAATCATTGTATGGAGAATGAAGTGATTAAATGTAGTAAGCAAATAATTCCATTTGATTTCACCCATTGTATTTGTTCAGCGAACTATTAGAACCCACTCTGTTATACTATGTCAAGAAATTGGACTAAGTGATATGGAAGTACGATCCTTTAAAACCAAGGAATATCTTGACAAACACAAAAGGATTACCCACGGAAAAGTTGTATTTGAATGTCCCCATTGTGGAAAAACATGGAAGAAAAGGGCAAACATGATCAATCACATTAAAAAAAATCACTGAACAATTTAGGAATTTATTAACTCATGAAAAAATAACTATTTTATGGCATCACTTTTGTATTAGGCATATTTGCTTTTAATTAGCGATGCGACTGATGACTGCCTCTTCTTTGTTTGACAGAACTTTGTACTATACATGTATCTCCTTGTGTTACTTCCCAGCTTCCCACTGAAGCAATAACTATCAATGAATTTTTTGATACTCTAAAATATAAGTGCAAAAAAATATATCTTTAGAAAATTTATATGTTTTGCCATGCATTGATTTTCCTGTAAGTGAAGGGTAATAAATGCTCATTTTAACATTCATATGTGTTTGTAAATAATATATATGCTTTAAATCATATACTTTATTTTTTTAAATTATATAATTCAACTGATCTGCTCCGGTTACGTTCCCAGCTCCGGTTACGTTCCTAAGTAATATTTTTAAAACTTTTTTTTTAATTAAACAAATCAGAGTCGTGTGAATCAGAAATAACAGAATTATTCAAACACACGTCGCTCGACTGTCCTTAATATATTTCTTCTGCGTAATATAGTTGAGCTGGATTTCTAAATATAAACATTGGTATGAACAGCCAGTGAACTGTGATAAATCATTGACAAAAATGATGCATTTCACATGAAGATGAAATGATTGCACAACAATCATCTCATTCAATTCAATGAATGTATTGAAAGGAATTGCATGTTATTATGTTGCTTAAAGCCATGGTAAATGTATATGCTTCTCAAGAGGTCATGCTCCAGTGCAAGCATACATATTAGTTCATGAAAATATCATATGAATAAAGAAAATATACTCAAATATATAAAGCACAACTGTCACAATCATTCTAAGGATTTTCAAAATGGCTGACATAATTTAATTTCATGCTGTAAATTGCAGAAAAGTTCCATTTTTGCACAACGCCTGGTCCTTACCTAGATTTTTATATATCTCAAGAAGTACCTTAGAAGTACACTATTCCCTTACTACAAATAACTTTCTAGGTAAGAACCAGGCGAACAATGCAAGAGTTTATCATTACCTTCCTCTCTCTAAAAATAAGTAGGTCAACACAATTGCAAACATAACTAATCCCTACTCAATGACTATTGAAATATGACTATTTATGTGTACAAAATATTAATCCAGGCAATGAGTGTATAGAGTGACACAATCAAACAATGGGACATCTGCCAAGTTGGGTTTATACATTCTGGAGAAATTTTCTGAGACTGATAAAAAATTCATATTTTCACAGGAAGTGATACATACCTCCCAAATCAACCAAAATATACTTTTATCAGTAATCTTGAATGCTTTTTATTGCTATTTCTTGAAAAATACATATTTATCTACAATTTGATCCTACATATCAAGGATATTAACGACATTAAAAAAAGTTAAGTGACCCCAGGGGTGTCTATAGCTATTTGTTCTTTTTGAAATGATAGAGAGGCATGGTTTTCAGACTATTATTCAAAAACGATCGTAATAATGATTCCCAGCCCTATGAAGTTTGAAAAATAACAATACCTGGGTGTTAATCCATAGATAATCCTTGAAAATGAGAAACATTTTTTTCGGATTATATGGTGCAATCTTATAGTCATTAAAATGTTTTAAAGTGTATTGACGGTTTTTAGATGAACAACACAAGCGAAATGCAATGAAAAAGCTCTCCAGATTCATTCTACAAACAACTCGCGGTCCTTTGAAAAATATTTTTCATATCAGACAGCATCTTACTATGTAAGTATCTACTCTTAAAGCAGAGAAGATCCCATTTCTCATATTACATTCAATTCTGTTTTAGTAAAAACCGCACCCCTGGAAGAAAAGTGTCTGAGGGGCCTGAATACGTTCATAAGAATTTGCATGAGTTGACTAGGTTTGGTTTACATAGCTATAGCTTGACTTACATGCATTGACTATGGGTGGTCATTATCTGTTAAACATATGATAAAACCCTCTTTGATGATAGCTTTTAGTCTTAGTTGCCTTGCTGATATATATCGGTGAAATGTTTCTTTCGACCTTTAATTGGCAGCTTTAGTTGGGCAATATTTTAGATTGGGTGCCTTCATACCATCTCCTGGAGGGTCTGGAGACCTTCCCATACCCTATACTCACTGGGGTTTGCATCAGGGCTATTAGCTTGATGGTTATCAGGCCGTATCAGTCAGGAACATTTTGCAAATTATGTTTATTTCTCATGGCACACCACATGTTTAAGTGAGACGCTGGTGACATCTTTTCTTCAAGTAAAAGTGTACAATTCATAATCCATGACTAGATAGCATCCTCAAGTTTCATTTGGTATGCAAATTATGATTTTGTATCAAAAATTAAAAAAGTTATAGGATTTTGAAAAAAAGTGGCGTTTTTTGGCCCACCCTGTAGATACAATAAGAGAGTACGGCAATAAAAACGACAAAATGTCACCTAAATGACAATCCTGTTGTACTCACTACTCATACTGGCCATTGTTTCACATGTTTGTGTCACCTAGATTTCTACATAATGACCATGATCACCTAGTTACGCATTTGTATCCTATGAATTCTGACGACAGGAATTTCTGAATTCACACGCATTTTCTGCTATCTTCATTCGTGTGACTCATAATAATTATTACATAAAACTGCCCAGCCATTTACTGAAATGCATTAATACATAATCGATAATCTCTCACACGAACCAAGTTCCCTCTTAATCCCTCCCAAGCTGCGACTACTAGAGGGAGCGAATCAGCTGCCATACACAAATAATAAATAATTATATTGGCAAACCAAAACTGAATAATCTAGTGCCTACAGTACACACTGTTTATTGTTCTTGATGTTAAGACTAATTTATACACATATAAGTGTATTTGCTAGTTTGTAAATATCTCATCATAAATTAGAGCAAGGCCCTTGATACAGGGTGCTCATAAATTCCGAGTCATTAGTAGCTCAGGTTTTTTATTGCAGATTAAAAATTTCTTTGGTTCTTTTTTGTTGAGCGCAAGGTATCATGAAATATCTGCCTGCATAGAAAAATACAGGTCTGACTAAGGCTATTCTGATGTGTAGAACCAACGTTGCCCGAAGTGCCGAAGTGCTTTCAATTCTCAGGGTCATATCTAGGGAGGGGTGGGCTCTAGGATCATTTTTTGGTAAGGCAAGTTTTCAGCCGAAAACCTTTAAAAGAAGATGAACGATTCGATCTCCTCTCCCCAACCTCTTTTCGAATTCGAACTAAACCAGTATCATACATAGAAACATTTCTCAAGGTTGAATCAAGATTGATGGCAAATCGGGGTTGATCCAATCTGTATATCAAGTTTGATTCAACATAAAACTTGGAAAAATTGATCGTTCGGTCTAATTCCGCCTTAACAATCTGGGTCAATTTTTTAAAGATGTTTTGTTAATCGAGTGCTTCTGCAGCAGGGCAAACCCATTAAAGAGAATTGCATGTAGAAGGAACAGATCTAGATCTTGTGTAAATCATACCTGATGAGTATAAAACGTTTCCAATTTTTTCCTTCAATTTTCATTTTTCTGAAAATGAGGTGACTGATCAATAACTGATTTGAGATGCAAAAATGACAAAATTAATTGAAATTGGAAGAGGAATGTGTTGCCTTATTTTAAATTTCAACCCTTCAAAATTAAAATCAAAATGTAAAACGTAAAACAGTTCCGTCATAGCGGACAAAAAATGTCAACATTATTTTTTTATTAAAAAAGTAAAAAGACACATTGCATCATGAATACCTTCAGATTTATGTTTGAACATATATTCTGAAGCCGTTTTCTATAGCTTTTACTCATTGCTTTATTAGACGAAACATGAGTTTAAAAAATAAAATGTGACGTTTTCATGACAAATAGCATGCACACTCCGTCATAGCGGACAAATTGTTCGATCCCTACCCGTGTTGTTGGTCTACCTAAATCAGATGACTTATTTCAACATGAATTTTTATCCTGATGGGGGTATACGGGAAACAAGAACGCAAAACAGGCGTAACAGGTGCTACACCCATGTGGGGATTTTAATTTTGACATATAAAAATTCCTGGCTCCATACCGTTATATCAAGGATGTTAATGTTAATGCTCACACTGTACCGATACTGTACTGTATCATCTATTGAAATTAGATAGATACACAAAGGGAATTTGCTTGAGTCCGACGACATAAAGAAAAAAGATTTTACAGCACAGTATAATATTTCTAATATAATTCCTAAAATTCGTTAATGCTATCTTATTGTGCCCAATACGTCGACTTCGACTTCACTATCTACTATACAAGTAGTAATTTCATTAACTTAATTGTTAATTTTCATGTTAATCAAGGGAAATCATATTATTAGATTTCATTTCATATTTTCATTCAAGATTTCTATTCTAAAGGATGTTTTGCCTCGTGCCTAGCTACGCCCAGTTATTTTTGTGACTTTCTCTGATTATTTTTTGGTTACGCCATACCTGGCTATACGTAACGGCTATGGTTCTTCTTTTGAAGTACCAGAGGACGTTTCACGGCTTTAAAAGCGTTTCCACCTATCCTTTTGTAATCCCCAGTATATGGTAATATGACCCCGTTAAGTCGCTTTAATGACGTTCAACATAAAATCAATTCATATATAAGAGAATTATTTCATGACCAACTTATATGTACATGTAGTCTTCAGATTGTTTGAGTTCTATTGAGGCAGGTTCTCATTAAGTCGTGCCAAATGATAGAAATGACAAAAAATAAGTTTTTTGTTTACATAACACTAACATTTGTTGGTGTACTAATTGGATTTTTGTTTGGAGGGATAAATATTATAAGTTCGACATATTCCAAGCCATTTGGAAACCCTGGTGATCCAGTTCCACTGAGGAAGGTGTCAGTCCCACGATATGGAAGTAAAATTGGGAATTCGAAAATAATCATTCCGGCGTCGAAAGATAACAGTTCGAAAAGAACAATCCCGACTACGAAAGGAGAATTTCAAAGTGCAGGGACAATGACAGCACAAAACATTACAAAAATAATTATATTAACCTACAGGCGGAGTGGCTCTAGTTTTTTTGCCGAGTTGTTCAAGCAGAATCCAAATATCTTTTATATGTTCGAGCCTCTCAAGGCAGTCGTTGAACGTTATGACATTGATACGCCAGTTGCTGGACCGGCATTCTTAAAAGAAATCATGAATTGTCGTTTCAGTGGTAACTCATATCTTTCGCAAGTAACATCAATGCATGGTTGGAGATGGCAAGCCATCTTCCGGAATGTGAAAATACTAAATGATGTTCCTAAGGTATGTGTGGATAGCGACATTGTTGCTTCAAAGATTATTCGTTTAGCAAATATTGGTCAAATTGCTCCATACTTTGGGAAGGATACCGCTATTCTCTTTTTGGCGAGGGACCCGAGGGGAATCCTAAACTCTAGGAATCATGAGACTCGCAGTTACAAAAACCTGGCGTTGGAACTTAAGAAAAAAGATATGGAATCTCTTTGCTACAATAGCTTAACTAATATAAACTTTATAAAGGATTTGAAAGCCAAGAGGAAAGAGCTTGATCTGAAACCGTTAATCAAACAGGTAATTTATGAAGACTTTGCTTATGATACTCTAACTAACGCTCAAAAACTGTACAAGGCATTGGACATACCATTCCACCAATCAGTACGTTATTGGATAGGGAAAAACACGTCAACTTTTTCTGGAGGGACATATGGAACGAGTAGGAACTCTACTAGTATCCCGACTAAATGGATGGTCCAGTTGAGCCCCGTGGAACTAAACATGATTCAAAATATAACAGACTGCAGAGAAGTGATTCAATCGCTTGGATTTAAGATTCAATGATCCCAAAGAAAAAATATGTAATTACTAAGTTTTTTATTTGTCTTTAAATCCCACTTGGGTAGCAACACAATAGAATTTGCTGTGGTTTATTTTTAAGAATGTATGGTTTTATCAAAAGGAAAGTGCATTATTTTTCTATTGTTTTTAAAGAATGTACACTTGGCAAGCTATCAAAAACAAGTGAGACATAAATGACCATTGACAGTTTTTGATAGTTTTCATTCCCTAAAAACAATATACAAAAATACATGTACCCTTCTCTTGTTACTGTGCATTCTTTAGAATAAAACAATTTATCAATTTTTGTTGTTATCTACATCATTGATCTTATCTTACTTACAAATATTCTGCTGTATTCAAATGCAATGTTCTGGACTGGACAGTCACCTAGTGCACTGAAGCTAGACTAATTATAGCCCACTCAGTCACTTACATCAACTCACACTCATGAGGTCAATGCGACCAACTCTTTTTGTTGTTACAATTAATTGGCTATATAACTACATGAACAGTCAACTCAAAAGAACTCACTCACTTACATGTATCAAACCACTTACCCCTACATGAACAGTCAACACAAAAGAAATAAAATTTTCCAGATTAGATCATTGACCATTTACCTGCAATATACCATTTACCTGTAATAAGAATGTGTGTGATTTAAGTAAGATAAAGCATTCGAATTCGATTTGATAAGAAATAATAACCTCAGGCCTTCGGTGTATTATTTCTTATAAAATCTCATTCTTATGCTTTATCCAGTACTTATTTTTCAATGAAAGGCCTCGGTCAAGGTATGCGACTCGATTGGTTAGATACAAAAATACGGTTATCCGTTCATATATTTGGATTTATGTTGTGGCAATGGATCTAACTAGGTCAAATCCAATGTTTTCTCCTCTTTTCTGTGATCTCGGCAATACAAGGATTACGGTATTCAACCGACTTCAGAAAGTCATTTCTTGTACAGTGTAATTTTCTGCATCAAGCAAGTAAGTTTACGTGTAGTCAATCAAAATCTAAGATACGCAAAGGCCAACCAACACTCCAACATATTCTTCAGAAACATTATCTTGATTTCCACCCTTTGGCCAACGTTGTTACAACGGCTTGCAAAAATAAGACGCATTTGAAATATGGTTGATGTGCATTCAGAAGTTTTAAGATACAAAGGGCATGAGCGAATTTGTTTGAGCAGTCCAAACCCGATTTTACAACAATCTTAATAACCGTCTATATCATTGGTATATCAAATCGGTTCTGTGAATTTCCTAATCTAACGATTCGGCGGATTACCTGGGATACGATTTTGGAACGGGTAAAGAGCGGAAATCTGGTAATAAACCAAGAACTAGTCATTGCGTCAGCTAATCTGCATAAATATTATTTAACATGACTGGGAAGTTTTGATATGTACTAATGTCACTTCATCTGGTTTTGTTTATCTTGCTTTTTTGGAACGTATTTCTTTGGTTACTATTAAAATCGGCAATTTTTACAGATTCATTCCACATTTCATTATTGCTAAAATTGATCTCTAAACCATTCACCGAAAGACATATTTTAGGCTAATAAAATGGATATATATTAACGATTTTATTTATTACTCCTCGAGCCACAGCGACAATTAATCCTTTTCTTCATCCTAGATCTTTCGAATGATTTTTAAATGTATTGGCAAGCTGGTGTTCGCTCCTATAAACCATGAATAGATGCAGAGGGACCGGCTCATTTTCCGAACACAGGCGTCCTGAACTCGAACCTCCTTCTTGCTGGAAGAATAAAGGAACACAATACACAATAGATGATGTCTGGAACACTGCGTTCGGAGGATAGACCGTCTTGGAAACTCCATACTCTCCCTATCAGAACCAAACATATATGAGAACCTTGAATATTTTCACATTTAAATTGGTTTTATGCATTACTACAGGCCTAATATCAAATCAGATGCACCTTGAAGCTGGCCATCATCCATCACTCAAAACTTTCGTTCAGTGCAAATTCTACATCTATTTTGATAACCTGATATTAAACATGTATAACCATCATAATATGATGGCTCATACATTAAAGGGATACTTTGAACAGATACTCATGAGAATGTTAACTTCGGTATAATAATGTCAGGGGCGCAGTCAAAGAAGTCTATAAAATGTTAATACATTTGTAAGTTAGTAGTAGAATATTAAGTTATATATGTCTGTAAATTTTAGAATTTTTGTTTAAAGAATGGCCGGCCCGGTATGTTCCCTATTTTCGCTATAAGTAATAATTCTTAAAAAACGTTTTTGTAGTTTAAATATTGAACTCGTCGCAGTTTTGCCTGCATTTCCCCAAGCACATATACATTCTTGAAGTATATAAGAGAATAGTAAATCGATAGTAGTGTTTTTCTATTTAGCTTATGTCTACTTTCAAATAGTATCCCGATGAGTTTTGATATTTTAAGTGATATTTTTTCATATGTTCCTTCCAGTTTAAATCCTCATCAATAATTATCCCTGCGAAATTGATTGATTGAAGTCTCTCTATTAAATTATTTCTTAGTTTGATTTCAATATTTGGTGGAACTTTATGTTTGCAGGTTGTATAATTTTATATCATGAATTCAGTCTTCTGTACATTAAGAGATAGCTTATTAGCACAAAACCAATCATCAATTTTATAGAGTTCACAATTTAATTCACAAGATGTTTGTATCATCTGCAAAAACAACTTTAACAAAGAATTTGAACACATAATGTCATTGATATATAATAAACAAAATAGGTAGTGCCTGTGGAACTCCACATGTGATTGACTGTTCCTGAGATTTAATATTATTATCTCAATATAAAGTAACTTGTTTTCGATTATTTAGATAACTTCTGAACCAATCATTAGCTTTTCCTCTAATACAACAAAAATTGAGTTTAGATAATAAAATGTCATGATTAATAGTATCAAATGCTTTACTGAGGTCCAAGAATATGCCAATAGAGAACTGTTTATCATCTAATGCTGAGTAAATTTTCTTAAAAAGAAAGAATAGCCAAGTAAGTTGAACTATTTTTTCTGAAGCCAAATATGCAAGGATAGCAAGTTCCTATTTTTGATAACTATAGGCTTTATATCATCAATTCCAGCAGATTTATCTTTCAAATTATCTAAAATTGATTTTATTTCGTCAAAAGTTACACGTCATAGATATAAACTTTGGCTTAAAGAAGTAGACATTTTATTCAAATAATGTTGAAATGTTTTATGAGAATTATGTATGTTTTTGCCAAATTATTTAAAACATTGACAAAATAATCATTAAAACCATTAGCCATTTCTTTGGGATTAGTAACTGTTTTATTATTATGTATAAATTTATCAAGTGATATTTGCAATTTCTTTCATCTGTTTAATATTTCATTAATGTGTGTCCAGGTGTCTTTTATATTACCAGATGTTTGATCAAAATTTTTGTAATGTAGTTTTTCTGCATGTTGAATAGTTTGCCTTAGAATGCGTTTATACTTTTTGTAAGATTTTTTATTGTTGAAGTGATATTTAATACATTTAGGAGTTATCGGGAAGCATTCATTATAGAGACTTTGAATTTTTTCAATAAAATATGCATAGCCTAAATTAACATCATCAAATTCATATAGCTGGGAAAAGTCAAGTTCAGAGAGGCGTAATTTAAAGGTAAAATTATACTACCCTGTGACCTCACTTTCAAAGTTTTATCTGAAAAAAACTGAATAAGTATTTCCTGCCTTATGCCTGGCCACGCCCATGAATGTAAACCTTTTATTTGAAAGAGTAAATCCATTTTTCATAACTAGGTATTTTTTAAACAAACATAGTTGAGTCTGGCTGCAACTAGTCGAGTTGTTCTCAAACGAGGGGACGGGTTAAGGTATTCTCTATATTCATTGAACACCTTTTGCTGATATGTGCATTGTGCGCAGCAGGATAGACAACGGTGTCAAGAAGGTAGATAATCAAAACAGGATTAACAGGCAGAAGGATGAACAAGCAACAGAGAGTGACCCAACTGAAGTCCGAAAAATCTTTTTTTAGAAACTAACTCACCAAGTACACTGTGGCTAGTCGATCTATGTGGATGCAGTCAGGCACATGTAATGTTTCGTGAGTACCCGCCTCTGTACTTTTCAATGGAAGAATTTTGCACTTCTGTTTAAATAATCTATATTTACTCATCCGTGTATATCATACTTCATTGATTTACAAAACCACAGCTACGCTATAAACACACATTCGCTGATAGTTTTACGGAGAATAGATAACTGAAACGAGTTCACTTGACCAGTTTTATCATCTCGCTCATAGCTGTGAGAAGGTATGTATAATTTGCCATAGGTTTACCTTGTAATGGGGAATAAAAAAGTCAAGTAATATAATTATTTCACATACAATACATATATGTCTGTGTGAAGTAAAATACAAATACAATGCGTTCTATAATATGGAGTTATGGTATGAAATATCAGCTTTAAAAAAGCAATTTAATTATGATGTATCATGTGGATTAGAAGACGTTCTGATTGGATTCATTGAACAGACTGGTTAGATTTCAATTGAATCATTTTGAATGTGTGTATTTTTAATATTTTAATCAACAGTGTCTGAAAACAATAATAATGCTGTATTGGTAATTGGAAAAATTCCACTTACCACGATTTAAAAAAATTGTAAATAGATAATATTATTCTTGAATTATGGTCATTTGTTTCAAGGAATCTGGAGGCTCGTTCAGCTGAGCTGACAAAATCATCAAGATTTACGGATGGTCCATCTGTTGGCTGCTCATTGCCACCTTCAAGGAATGTAAATGGCTCTGAAACTGGTAGCCTTGCCCAAGTCGGTATTTATTTACTTATCTGATCTTGAATTATTACCACCTTGTACAATCCAATGTATCATCGCTGATATTATGCTAACTTATTCAGTGGTTCCGAGATTCCCATAATACCTAGGCTACCTAAGGGTATCGCAAAACCATATTGATTGACAATATGGACATGGACACAATGTGTGACTTCAGGCTGATTGACCAATCAAAACGTTATCAGGTTGACCTGCATAAAAAAGCAAACTACCCGTCTAGGACTTGAAATTCAATGATCTGATCGAGTGTTTCTTGAGAGTTACAATATATTATGTTATTAAATGTACATTGGAATGTAAGCAGTCATTAATACTCGTCTAAATGAAATCATGCAATTTAATGTTGATTCAAAATCAAAACTTAATTCGCGATGGGAATGCATGAAGACCTAGTCAGGCAAAGTAGGGCCGTCGTTGATTTGTCAAATTTTACCGACAAAAACATTGGGTCGGTAAAGCACATGGCTTTCTCTTGGGTACAAGGCAGTCATAATAGAAATCAAGATAAGTAAAATAGACCGACTTTGGCAAGGCTATGAAACTTGATTTGTGGGTATTCCAGTGGGTCGATGGGTCTTTTGCTCTGAATTCACTTCATTAGCGTACCTAATTTCAACATTTTCATTGTCATCATTACATGTTATGGACCCGTTTTTCAAATTAACAGTATCAGCGATAAAACCATAGTTTTTGGCTCACACAGTGAGACTATGGGGTCGACCAGGCGTCCGTCCGTTGGTCCGTCCGTCCGTTGGTCCGTCCGTCTGTCAACATTGGTTGCACAAATTAAAACTGCCCTTCGGATTGAGTCATTTCCACATTCATTTTATGCATATCCATAATGTCTATTTGACCTATCATCGCCATTTCCCAAGTTCGCCCGGTTTCCGAGAAATTGCTGATTTTTAAATTTCGCGAAAATCGATCTTATGATAGCCTTATAGAAAGTCAAGAGAAGTGATGAAAAGATTGAAAAAATACCAGTCCAGTCCATTTCCAGGTCCAAGTCCAGGTCCAAGTCAAGGTCCAGTTCAGGTCCAAGTCCAGATCTGGGTGTAATCAGGTTTAAACCAGGTCAAAGGTCAAGAACTAGGTCAAATCCAGTACTTTGTCATTTTTTTCGATTTTCTCAGTCGTCCTTGAATATTTTTGCTCAGTTTTTTTAATCATGTTCCTTGGAAAAAAGCTAATCCCTACAGGCAAGTTGTTTTTGATCACTCTTACCGTTTTTGAGATATGGCATCCGAAAAGTAGGTTACAATAAAAAGTTCTTGGAATTCAATGTATAAGTTATGAAATATGTGTAAAATTGTCCAAGGAATCCGAATCTGCAAACCAAATTTTGAT